CTTAAACAGTGTTATCAAGTGTAACAGCAACTCCATGTGGAATAAGCCTCTTTCCAGTGGAGGTGGTGTTACTTTTGAAAGCCACTGATCTATTGACTGAAGAAGTAAATTATATGGATAATAATTAAAATCAACCAAATTTGTTATTACAACTACGTATTATTACCTACATACCACTTCTACTGGTAATGTTTGTGGGGTTTTTTTTTTTTATCTTTCCAAGCATCTTTTTTTCTAGCAATGTTAGTCTTCCAGCTTTCTCAGTTAAAGAACCATGTATTCAGCAAAAGAGCTCTGGAGGACTCAATCAACGTTTCTACCCCAAAATGAAGTCTAGGGTAATGACCTATGATTTGACAGACTGTGCTATCTAAGTCTGCCTGTCATTTCTGTAGGCCAATACTCTGCATGTTCACTATTCTACAAGGAACGCGTGTTTCTGTGTTAACGTACATAAATCAATATCAATGAAGAAAGTTAATTTTAAAAACAAAAGTCCTCTTTATGTTTTAATGATTTATCCTAATGTATTTATATAGCTTACAGCTTAAAATCAAAAAGAAAAATTAAATGCTACCTCCATAAAAATGCCTTTATTTTCTATCTGAAGAAATTATGAAGAGATATATTTTTGCTTTAGTGCAGGGGTCTTCAAACTTGGCCCTTTTATGACTTGTAAACTTCAACTCCCAGAATTCTTCAGCCAGCGTCCACAAGTCATAAAAGGGCCAAGTTTGAAGACCCTTGTTTTAGTGATTTAAAGGGTTCTTCATAAAAAAGGCCAGTGTCTAATTTAAATGGTATAAATGCACAAATATATTAGCAGGACAGCACATTCAGGGTTTGATTTGGGTTGCTGTATTACAAGATTTCGGCTCACTGAATTCTTGCCTGATGTTCACAGTTACCAGTGATAAACTGATGGATTGAATGACTTTAGGAGCTTAAACAAATTCACATTAACCAGAGCGAGCACACGTAATGATAAAATTATTTATTTTATTTATTTTATTAAATTTATATCCCGCCCTTCTCCTTGCGGACTCAGGGCGGCTAACAATCGAATAAAAATACACAGATAACATTACATCTAATTTTAATTAATTTTTCCTTTATAAATTGACACTAGATTAATTTTATATTAATTTTGGGGGAGATTTTTAAAGGGGATCCGGTCAGGACGTTCGACCTTATTGGATGTCTTAAGGGCGCGGCGGAAGGAAGGGAGATCAGGGATCACCCTGATCTCTGGGGGTAGTTCATTCCAGAGGGTGGGAGCTCCCACAGAAGAGTGATTTAACATGGATAAAGCATAGCTCACTCTTTTAAAACTGCTCTGGGTTCAGAAGCTCTAAGAGTAGTTGGCCCATTGAGATGTTCATGGTCTGAAAAGGATTCCTCTGGCGGGGAGACTTATCAATATTTCGTTATCATTACCCTGGAATTTCTACACCAGAAGCAACATCTATTCAATCTTACAAGTCTGTTGTTCTTTGTTTTTCAAACCTCTTAATTCACTAATGTGTTTTAAAAATGTTCAGAGCAAGAGAGCGTAATTTTTTCAATAGTCATAATTATTTGACATAAGTGATCCTACTAAAAGCGCTTGTATAAGAACATAATAAATTAGATCAAAGGCACTAATTCCAGCAGGAATTGGCAAGAATTGTAGTGACTTCCCAGCACTAGATGATTCACTGAAAATTGCTCTCCCTCTGAACCCTGGTTACCTTTCTTATCCAACTCTGCTCTTAAAAACATCTACCTGTATCTGTTGCAGAATATTTGCTCAAGGAGGAGTTTAAGCCGTCATACAAGGGCAAATTATAAGGTGTGTCTAAAATCAGAACCCTGGCAGTTTATACAAGCAAATCAAGACAAAGCTTCCAGAAAACCATATTTCATTTTTTTAAAAGATTGATATGTCTCAAAATCCTTTTATAACTAGGCACTGAGGAACAAGCAAGGCTCTTACTGTCAAATTGGTGGGCTCTTATAATGCACAAAACAGACAAACACAATTTCTCCTTTCAACAATTAACCCCAGCTCAAAAAACAATCTCCCCCCCCCCCTTTGCATTCAGCCAAACCTGAGCACCCCAATCATGAACAAATGGGAAAGCATTTCTCATAGAAACAACTGACATAGCCTCTTCTTTATTTTTTCTGCAGAAGCCCAGCAGGTTAGATTAGGACTAGGTTGTATTAGAGGGTTCAATACAACCAATAACATCTAGTCCAATAACATCTGAAGCCTCTCTCTCTTCCCCCTCCCTTCCCAATTACTGAATGATCGAATACCAGATATGAAAAAGTAGAACGTACATATAGTTCTTAGAATCCCCAAAACTTCATTACGTTCTCCCCCTACCCCCATCTTCCAATAGATTTTAAGGGCTCCTTTCTCCAGAACTTTTATTTCATTCAGTACTGATCGTGCGATACTGCAGAGTTTGTTAACATTTACCCTCTGGATGGTATTTACTGGTATTGTTTCATTAAATGGAATTATCATGTCCTACGTATTGTCCTCCTTAATACTGTATATTACCTTTATTTTGGGAAGCATTTTAGAAATCAATACATAAACATAAATAAATCAACAATGAGAGTTGTGTCTCCTTGAATTACCATTCCAAGCCAAGAGCCCTGGGACATCAATATCATAGCTTTCATTTTTGTATCTTTTCGATACTGTGAGGTAAAATTGGTTTGCCACAGGGAGAAAGCTGCTTTTTTGGCAGATATTTTGTCCCACGTTTTAATTTACTGAAGCTTCATTTCAGATTAGTGGCACATGTTCCATATAACATTCCACCTACACATGCCTGCAGTTTGGTAATAGCAACTCTGTTGGCAACAAATACTAAAAAAATAATGATACTTGATTAAGATGAGAGGAGGTGGTTCCTTTTCTCATTGCATTCCATCGGTCCATTCCTTTTTTATTTTTCACCTCCCCAAAACATTTTTCACTTCCCCAATGTTTTTGAACTACATTTCCTTCTATCTATAGTTCTCCTCTCTGAAAAAAGACAGCAATAGTGTGCATCATACACGCAGTATGTGAACAATCACATACTGAAGGAGTCACGCGATGTAGATTGTCTATGAGTAGAGCGGTGAAAATTAGTCTCTTCAGTTTGCAACTTGTGTTGGATCCAGAGGTGCACCATATTTGCAAAGCATTTCAACAACCATATTTCAAATGTGATAAGGATAGAATTCCTTCATGAGTGAGATTTCAGGGCTTGGCATGGATAAAATGAATGGCTTAAGCTCCTGCAAGACTAAATACACCCATTTTGTTGCTTAATCCTCTTCCCCAAAGTCCAAAAAGGGGCCTCTGATGGCAAATTTTGAGAGTCTCACTCACTTAGGGAAGAATGCAAAGGGATGCTAATGCATTTTTGTACCCCTGCTTTAATTTCAAATGACTATTAAATGTATTTCACTTCACAACATCAATGCTTGCAGTTGTAAACTCACTAATAGAGGGCACTACAGGTACCCTCAACTTAAGATCACAATTGAGCCCAAAATTTATGCTGCTAAGTGAGAAATTTGTTAAGTGAGTTTTGCCTCATTTTATGACTTTTCTTGCCACATTTGTTAAGTGAACCACTGCAGTTGTTAAGTTAGTAACACGGTTGTAAAGTGAATCTGGCTTCCCCATTGACTTTGATTGTCAGAAGGTTGCAAAAGGGGATCACATGACCCCAGGACACTGCAACTGTCATAAATATGTAAATCACATAATCATGGGGATGGTGCAATGGTCATAAGTGTGAAAAACAATCATAAGTCACTTTTTTTAGTGCCTTTAAAACTTTGAGCGTCACTAAATGAACTGCTATAAGTTGAGGTCTACCTTTATTAGTTGTTCTGAATTTAACAAAACCATGGATTTGGGTTTGTAAATAAAAGTAGAAATTGTTTTTACCGTGATCAAACATGACAAAGAAACGGATTCCTAGAATGCAAATCAACATGAATGGAAATTAAGAGCTGGGCCAAAGCCGGACCCCCCCTCCCGGCTTGAGAAAAGAAGGATTTGCAGCACAGAGCAAAACACTGGTTTAGCAGCTCAGATTCTAATACAAATCAGTGTGTCTCCTTGACTTAACAAAAGCAGCCTCATGAACTATGCATTGTGTGTCTCTCCTCTCTCATTCTCAACATCACCAACAGTTGCTGCAAGGATAGTCATAGCCAATCAAATGAGCAGGCTCTGAAATGCAATCAATATGACATACTCTTAAAAAGGTAAAGGTTTCCCCTGTCCAGATGTGTCCAACTCTAGGGAACAGTGCTCATCTCCATTTTCTAGTCAAGGGAACCAGCGTTGTCCAAAGGTACTTCTGTGGTCATGTGGCCGGCATGACTATATACCAAGGTACAAGAACTGCTGTTACCTTCCCACTGAGATGGTACCTATTTATCTACCCAAGCATATCTCTCTATTTGCACTCTTTATTAATGAAAGCATTTTTTCATTCACATAAATAAAATACTGCACTTGAGAGACATCTGTCCAGTTAAGAAATAATAACAGTCCTTTATCTCTGAGGTTGAATTTTGTTGGGTGTCTCCAGTGAAAAGGACTGGCATCTGTGCAGTCTTATGACAACGCTAGTTCTTCCACTCACTGTAATGTGTTCTTGTCTAGCTAGTTTCTTACAGCCACATCAATTACTTGCTTAGAAGCACCACCATCCTATGCCCATTGGGTGTATAAGAATGTGGACGTGCATCCAAATTGCTTTACCACAAGAGCTTTTTCACTTGTTTTAATAATGGACATAGAAACAAGAAAGCATTACACCCCATACAAACCCCTGTGGAATGGATTACATCCCATATCAACCTCTGTGGGAAAGACAATTCAGGAGGGTTAGAGATAATTTCCTGACCACATAGGAACAGGAGCTGCAAATCCCATAACCATACCAGATCAACTCTATCACCAGAACAGCAGATGCTAAAAAAATGGTGCAATTTACAAATTACTGCTCTGTTGAAAAATGAAAACAGTATTTCTGCACCAACTATTATTATCTTTTCCTCCCCCACACCCAAAAAAACCCCATAGGTCTGTGAAATACTTACTTGTTTATTAAAGGCTCCTCTGTTGACTTATGGTAAAAAACTGGAATGGGGACACCCCAGCGCCTCTGTCTTGATATGCACCAATAGGTTCGTCTTTCCAACATTTCTAGCATTCTGTTCATTCCTGAGGCTGGGACAGTTTTTACTTTCTTTAATGCTTCCTGAAAAAGGATGTGGGGGAAATACCAAAGGTTATATGCTATGGGAAGAAGAGGAATCACTGTTCTCTAGTGGATTGTCATGGTAAAAGAAAAGTTTTGTAAAGTATACTAACCCTGATACTAAGTTGATAATCAAATGTATACTGTTTCAAAATATTTTAGACACCATGCATGTAACAATTCAACCATTGTTCACAAATGTTGCTAAAATAACAGAAGCCCAGAACCATTTAATTCTTCATAAATGCTTATTGTCTATATGATTTTTAATCTGTTAGCTCTCTATACATTATTTTACATGAAAGGCAGGCAGATATGTTTTCATTTGAGCACATACAGACCAAAAGTCAGGACCCCACCTAGTGGCATGCAGAAGTAAAATTCATACAGCTGATCATTTAAGATTATTTAAGTTGGAGACCATACTTTTTCTTTTTTTAACAACCAAAACTCAGAGAGCTCCAGAGATTGTGGATGGTAAAGTAATAACATGATGTGAATGGGTGGAGCCAGAATTTTAGCAGGTTTCTTGAGATAGAGTTAACCAATTTTGCTCAACAGGCCAAAAAAAAAGAGGAAAAAATTACACTATCAATTTTAGTGGCACAATGACGTTGCTTAGTAGATACGATGCAAACCATGAATGATATAAATTGAATTATAAAAAATGGTAATGTATCATAAAGTGTAATGAAAGCTAGAGGTTCATTTGTATAAGGAAACACATTACATACCTGAGCAGCAGTCTTGAGATTCTCTGTATTAATGAACCACTGTTTGCTGGCCCGAATAATCACAGGTTTTTTAGTCCTCCATTCATAGGGATAGCTGTGTACATGTTTTTCTTCTTTCAATAAATTCTTTGCTGCTTGAAGCATCTCAATAACTATGGAAGAGTAAAAATATATCACTTACTTTCAGCTTTAATTCAGAAATCTTTCGTAGGCAGTCAGTTCAGACCTCTAACAAAAGTTTCTGTTTGTCCTCTGAAAGTCTACTTTGTAGGGAAGAAGGAGGGAATTATGAAAATGGTAATGGCAGCCCCATGTAGTTTTGGTCTAACCCTGCCTAATACTGATGTATACCATGTGTTTGTTTGTTTGTTTGTTTGTTTACTTATTTGTGTGTGTGTAATTTATATAAAGATTTCTAAGGCTTATGCATAACTGTGGGCAGCAATGTAACCCTTAACTGAGTATTCTGCTAGGAATGTGGGCCTTGAAAGAAAAAAGAAGTTGCCCATCTTTGGTGTAAGAAAATAGGTCAATATTCTTTGCCATACCCAATTTATAGTGTAAAATGTAATACAAACCAGTCTCATTTCCTTCTCCAAGAACAGCTTTCTTTTGGAGCTCTGAACCTGCAGCTTCTGTGAAAAGCCCTTCTTCATCTACCAGACAGTCCTGGGCAAGAAAAGAAAAATTGTTTAAACCTTTGTAAAAAAAAAAAAAAAAGTTCTCAAATTTGTCATCAAATATCATTTCACAAAGATGTGATTAGACTAACTACAACTAGACTACTGAGGATATATATTTTCCCTGTAAAATAAGCCACAAAATTTTCATCTTTTGGAAGTAACAGAGACACTTAATGATTGCAGAGGCATAGATTTTGGCAAGGAGTTACCTATTCTGAGAGGAAACATAATTCTTAGCCAAAAGAAAATGAAAACCATTTTCTTATTTCATTTAAAATTTATAATATTTATCTTAGAAAATAGCCTCGGTTCACATAATTTGCGTTTTGACCATACTGTACATCGCTACCAATGGAACGGAAGCATCCGGAAGCAGGGATTCTCCCTCCCTTATTCACAGTCGTGAAATCTATTCTAAAGAGTTATAGCAGATTTGGAAAGAAGCATGGAAAGTAAGGTAAAGGAAGTCTCACTACATAAGTACAAATCTGTTTAAAGAACCCAGATTTAAACTTTATGGAATCCTGCACCAATTTGAAGTACGCACAAAGTGCATTCACTGACTTTCAGGATGTTCTCCAACCTTCAGGCCTGGCATTATAAAAGATATGAGACGAATAGGCAATAGAAAAGCTTTGTAGGATGTGATTTAAAGTCTACTACTATACCTTCTTTCTCACTTTTAAGCTATAGTTTAGGTAGCTACAAAATGATTTTAAAAGATTTCCACTCTTCCTTTTCAACTTGAAAGGTTTTGCTACATGATAGTTTTGGTGTGAGCAGGAAAAAGATAGATTAAAAACAAAGCAAAATAAGATCACAGTACCATGGGCAGTTGATGATGAGAAGCTACACTGTAATCTTCCATACCATGAGCTGGAGCTGTATGCACTAATCCTGTTCCTTTTGACATGGTCACATGGTTTGCAGGCAAAAGAGGAGACTGCCTTCCAGGAATTGTTGGATGGGAACAAATTCCACTTTCCAAATCTGTACCTGAAAACCGCAAAATTAAAACTGTTCACCGTCTGCCATTTTTCTGCCTATCAGTGGGGGAAATAAAGTTTTAATAATTACACAACTAATAAGATTGTCACACTGAAAATGGATACTATATTTTTAAAGTATTCTGGTGCAGGGGGCTATATTCATTAATAACAGGTACTATTTAGAATGGGCATGATTACAAATCAAATGAATAATAATAACCAATTATATTTTAAATAACTAATAGCATCTGGATTACCATTATCAGCCATGGTGGTGCAGTGGTGAGAATGCAATACCGTAAGCTACTTCTGCTGGCTGCTGGCTGCCAGCAGTTTGGCATTTCGAGTCTCACCAGCTCATGGTTGACCCATCCTTCCGAGGTCGGTAAAATGAGGACCCAGATTGTTGGGGGCAATAGCCTGACTCTGTAAACTGCTTAGAGAGGGCTGTAAAGCACTGTGGAGCGGTATATAAATGTAAGTGCTATTGCTATTGGAACACCATCATCATTGACCAAATCTCCATCAGTCAATTGCAAAAGGCAGCTTTACCTAGAACAGCTTACAACCTGCCATGATACATTTAACGTCATCAAACATCTGCCTATTCCAGGTCCTTGGGAATGACTCAATAGGTGAATAAATGCCAAATCCAGTCTAAATATTTGGCTGACTGCAAAGTCAATAATATTTTTTTCTAGTCATATCTCCCAATCCAGCTTTCCTTAATATATATTCAGCATACAGACTGAATAAATAAGGGGAGAGTATACAGCCTTGTCTCACTACTTTGCCAACCTAGAAACAGTCTGTTTCACCATGTTCTGTCTGTACTGTGGCTTCAGAACTCAACATTGTTGCCTACGAACAATGAATAGAACAACAGAAACTAGCATATTTGCTTCTAGTGTCTCTAACAGGTAAGCGTACCAATTTGATCCAAGATAAAAAGTCCCCTACATAGAATACCTGCAATTGTGCCATAATAGGAATACATGATTTTAGCCCTACCCTTTTGCAGGAAAAAAAATTAAAAACAGTTTCCATTATAAGCACATTAAAAAATATAAAACACAAATATCATTCTTGCTCAAAATGTCTGTTTCTACGCATATACAAGCCAAATTTGCTTCAGATTTTTTATTCAATCATATGACTGTATTAAAACAAGATAAATTCTACTGCAGTTCTGTTGTCTGCTCTCTTAAAAGATCTCTCAAAATAAATTTCACTCTCTCTCACACACACACATACACTTTTAAAAGATTAAATTAAATTAAATTATCTTGAATTGCAATATATAAAGATCTCACTCAAGCTACAAAAGTGTAATCTTCTAGCTACTTCAACTCTTGTGAAAGTCAAGGATGTTCCTACTGTCCATTTAACTACTGTAAACTGATAAAGCAGTGTTTCTCAATCTTGACAATTTTAAGGCATGTGGACTTCAACTCCCAGAATTCCACAGCCAGCAATGCTGGCTGTGGAATTCTGGGAGTTGAAGTCCACATGCCTTAAAATTGTCAAGGTTGAGAAACACTGTGATAAAGGATCAGAAAGCAACTGCAATAAAAACACAACAGCAACATCATCCATTGTTGGTAGCGTGAATATACATAAGATTGAGGTTGGCCACTGGGAATTAGAAACCACCTTTTTCCTAGTAAAAGTTCCAATTTAGTACTGTTCTCACAACCATATTAAAAAAAATTCTAAATGTGCCTGTAGAGTTCTTGAATGCCACAAAACTGCCAATTTAGAACTCCCCGGCCAGGAACAATTTCACTCTCATTTATCTCTATTATTGTACCATTCATTCAAAATTAATGGTTTTATTGCCATGCATTTTTACCTTTAAATGTTGAAATCACATCAAACTGTGTATCCAAAACAGCTGCTATAGACTGAACTCTGTCTGCAATTACTATAAAGTGCTCCCCAGTACTGGCACACTTCACAATGGAATACCTACAAATGCATTTAGATCTTGTTATATTAAAAACATGAAAGCATTGGAAAGATACCCAAAGCTTAATATTGAAATCACTTCCATTTCATTACTAATATTGGTACTGATACAAAAATGTGAATTTTCACAGAGTTCCTCATGACAACTGGGATCATGAAGAAGAAATCTAAATTCAAAACTTACATTTATTTTCTTACATTATATTTGCCATCTTTTAATCCATTTTAAACATGCAACAGATGGAACTATGTGATACTTAGATATTCCACATACTGTATTTTTCTTCTGTGACCACAGAGGAAAAATTGCATGGTTTATAATAACATGCAGCATAAAATCATCTTTTCTACAGCTGGGCATATAAGAATAAATAAAGGGTTATAAAATAAAAAGAAAATTAGATGATTTATATTATCTGTAAAAATAAAGGGAATGGAAAAAAACGGAAACGGAAAAAAACAGATATTTTGGTGATCTTAAATATAATATTTCCTTTAAAATATCCACATGTAAGATACCTTAATCCCATGTGACCTTCAGCAAAATAAATCATAGATCTCAAGACCACTATGCTCCAATGATAAAGTAAATAAATACGTACTCCAGATTTGGCATATAACAGACAGCTTGATTGGCTGCAATAGTCCAGGGCTGGGTGGTCCAGACTATCAAACTCACTGCAGTTAACCCATCTAGAGGTAGAATCATATTTAGCACAAGTTATCATAAGTACATTAGAAGTACACTTAATCAAAATTCATTCAGAACATAAATAAAACTTACCTACTGCAGAAGCTAGTTTGGGAGGGGGTTTCAGCAAGGGAAATCTGATATAAACAGCTTGACTAGTATGTTGCTGGTTGTATTCAAGTTCTGCTTCAGCCAAAGCTGTACTGCATGAAGAATCAGCATGAATTGTATTTTAGTGCAAAGCTCTTCCATCCCCCCAAAGGCAAGAGTAAAAAGTATGTTAATATCTTACTTTGTTGAAGGAGACCAAAACACTGGCTTATAGTCTTGATAAATAAAACCCTAGGAAATAAACAAAAATTAAGAAATCAAAACTATTTTGCCTTGTATGTAATGTAAATATCCCTTGACAATATATATATGAACCTACCTTTTCATACATTTGGTGGAAAACTCTCAACTGTTTTGCTTCATACTTTGGATCAAATGTGCAGTAGCAGTTCTCCCAATCTGCCATTACGCCCCAGCGCATAAATGCTGATTTCTGTTTCTCAATTACCTTTTCTGCAAATGCTTTGGCTGAAGAAGGAATAGTCATTTTTAACATGAATTCACCCAATGTTAGGTGAAGTTGAAAACAAAAGTATAAACTAAAGCATAATCAGAAGCCAAATATTTTCTTTTACTTAGTTATTTCAGATAGACCGATATAAAGATAGCAATTGAATTTGACTACCTGGTGGCTACCTGACAAATTCCTGCAGTTTTCTTGATAAGGTTTTTGGGAAGTGATTTGCCATTGCCTGCTTCCTAGGGTTGAGAGAGTGACTGGCTCACTCAGATGTCTCATGCCTAAGGAAGGACCGGAACTCAGGCTCCTAGTTTCTAGCTAGCTGCCTTATTGACTATACCAAATTAGCTCTACAAATATATTTTATATCATTATATTTCTAATTAGCATAACTATAAATGTAATAAATAATCCTTTATTGAATCCTAGGTGAACTAGAACATTTAGTTTATCCTACATAGCTCATTTTATTAAAGAAAACATGCAATACTTGTACTGTGCTTTGCCCCTCCTTGCTCGGTCTCAGGATCTGATTCTGGTTTCTGGCAGCAGCTGCTTAATGCCAGATCAACTTGCAGGAAAACTAGCCTCATCCATGACATCTGATTATGTACGGGAGAGCCAGTTTGGCTTGTATCACTGAGACTTGGTTGGCCACAGAGTGGGTTTTTCCCTGTCTGAAATGTGCCCTCCTGGGGTCTGAGTATGACCTCAGTTGAGTCTCTGGGGCAGAGGTGGAGATGTGGCAGTTGTTATTTGTGATCTCTGGTGACCTCCATGTGAGGCCTTCTTTCTGAAGCTGAGCCAGAGGAAAAAATGGGGATTGCTGCTATTTGCCTTCTTCCCTGCAATGTAGCTGCATCCCTGTCTGTGCTCCTGTCTGAACTGATGATGGAGGCCCCAGGCTTATGGTTCTGGGGGGGGGGGATTTCAACCTACTGTCTCTGGGCCTGGGATCTGAGGTAGCACAAGTTCATGGCCACTATCCATTTCACGTATTCATAGTTCAACTCATAGGGAGATTTGGTGCTCGGTTCATAGCAGTGTGTTGTGATCTGGATTTAGGAGTGCATTAACAATATGTCCTGCTCTCTTGGTCCTAGGGTTCTCAGCAGCTGTCCCTCACTGCAAGGATTGGGGTCTATTTGATGGACATGCCTCAGGCACCTAATAGACCCAATGCAGTTTCCGAGGGAATTTGGGGTTTTTCCTTACTCCTGCTTGGAATGAGAATGTGACGGAAGTGCTGGAGCAAATCTCACCTGTGTGGACTCTGTGCACCTTTCTCATCTTAGCGCTGGACAGGGTTTCACTCCTTCGGAGTGAGCTGGTGCACAATTTGGGGGTCCTCCTGGACTCATGGCTCCCTTGATGAGTAGGTGGCAGCTGTGGCTAAGGGGGTCTTTGCACTCTTTTCTGGACTGGGAGGTATTGCTCTCAACCACACAAGCCTTAATCACTTCCTGTTTGGATTACTCCACTGCATTTTACACAGGGCGGCCCTTGAAGACTACTTGGAAGTTATAACTGGTCCAGACTGCAGCAGCACACACCAAATTGGCTGTTCATAGGTTTACCCACATTACATCTCCATTGCATGAGCTGCATTGGCTCCATTTCTTCCAGGGTACAATTTAAAGTGGTGGTTATCATCTTTAAAGCCCTACCTGGCATGGGGCCAGGTTATTTGCAGGAACTTCTCCCTAAGAATATCTGCCCATCCCATTAGATTGGATAGGGCAGGCATGTTCCAGATCCCTTCCCTGAAATTCTACCTCTTAGTGGGATCTTGGAAGCATGCCTTTTCTATGGTTCCTCCTATCCTCTCCCTAGGGATTCTTCCAGAATTTTAACCTTCTGGAAGACCATCAAGACCTGGCTTTTTACCAAGGCACTTGGCATTCTGAATAGAATAGAAAGAATGGTATATGGATAACTGAAGCTTGCTGCGGGACCACCTAAGATGATGATTAAGGAGCAGGGTTTTTCTTTGTTTGACAGTTACATTTTATAGTTACTGGTTATATTGCTATTGTTTAAGATAGGCAGACCTGTTTAAGGTGGGCAGCCATATAATTCTTTTAAATAAATAAACATTTAGGATTAAAACCAACCTACCAAATATTAGTTTAAAGAAGAGAGAGAAACAAAACTGTATCCAAAGTCCTATTAGACTGAACTCTGAATTTTAAACAAACAGGGCAGAGTGCATTTTAAATTGTATAATGTGTTATATATTAATAAATACATATACATGCAGATAAGAGCACCTTTTTCTGTTCAGAGTAAAGATAACTGGCAACCTAAATCAGTATGTTATTGCTACATTTGCAATTCTTCTTCCACTATCTCTAAACTCCCAATTTGTCCATGTTCGCTTGCCTTATGGATAGTAATATACATGTAAGAAATTAAGATTTTTTTAAAAGCAGGTAGACAGACTATAGTTTTTCAGTTGTCACTGAAAATCAACTTTTAGTAGCTTCATCCATTATGGTCAATGGTAATGCATACTGAGAGTGGTACTTCAATAACATTTGAAGGTCATTTTTTGTCTATTGACGTTTTAAATTATGTATCTCATCTTAGAAGGCACCTCTCAAATATTTGAAAGTAGAACGATGTTGCTGTTCTCCGAAACATGTCTGTCATGGAATAACATCCACAGACCTCTCTAGGAGTGTTTATCAAAGGAAAGATACCTTTCTTTCTGATTTCCATTGGTGTAAGATGTTTTGTTTCTCCATATTCTGATAATGCTTTCAACTCAATGGGTAACCCATGGCAATCCCATCCAGGGACATAGTGCACTTTATAGCCATTCATCACATGGAACCGATTTGTGATGTCTTTCAAAATCTGAAAGGAGAGGAGAGCGAAATAGATATTCAAATTCATGCTTCCCTCTTGCTTCATAATTTTCTTGACTTCTACAATATTTATACTACAAGCTATACCCTAACAAATTGTTTTCTATTTATTTCTATTCTGAAAGGTACCTTCTATTAAGAATGCTTAAGTAAAATTACAGACGCTTGCCACACAAATAACTTATAAGATATCCATAAAAGCAAAAATATTAAGTCTTTGGACAGGCTCCAATTTTTAACAAAGCTACAGATTCATGCCCAACTGTTTTTCTTCATATTACATTCCAACGTGGCAAAAATTCCACATTAATACATGTCTGATGGCCAAATACTACTGCTTTCACCAGGATACTTGCATTTTTGCTTGAAATCAAGAATTGGAAATCCCAGGCCTTACAAATCAATGAAGTTTTGAAGAAAACCAAACTTACATTCTATGATTTAAAGTTGAAGTTAATCCAGCAAAAATATTTTTGTATTTACTGGACACTATCTAGAATGTTTTATAATGAAGCAGGACAGTATTCGGAATCTCTTAATATTCTCATATACCATTGCTGCATGAGCTGCAGTAGATTTCCAGACCCAATTTAAGATGATGGTAATTACCAATAAAGTCCTTCATGGCACAGGACCAGGCTATTTGTGAGACCACCTATCTCCCATTGTTTATGCCCTCCCCGCAAAGGATGGGCATACTCCAGGTCCCTTTTATCAAACAAAGCCATTTTGTTGGACTGGGGTCATGTTTTCTCTATGGCTGTGGATAGTGCTGACCCTTTTAACTTTGAAAATTGGACTGTTCCCCCAGGTACTTGGGGCAGGAAGTTAGATAAGCTCCATCGGTGACAAGACTTTTTATTTTGGTGGTTGCAGCTTTAAATGGAGCTCTTAGGATTATATTATTATGATGGTTTTAAGTTTTGTATGCCATCCAGAGTCACTACTGTAAATTAGATGGCTTTATAATTCACTTAAATAAATACATAAATCAATTAATTTAGGAAAACACATACTCACTTTATTCAAAGCATGGCCAACATGTGGGTCTCCATTGGCATATGGTGGTCCATCATGAAGACAAAATTCTTGCTTTGTTTTCCTTTGTCTTTGCCAAGAATACAGTTCTGAAAAGCCACATTTCTAAAGAATACACTAGAATTATTATACTACATCTTACATAATAAATTATTTTTTAAACATGACAATATATTTAATCTACAACTCCCCAAAGAACTCCTATCACCTTTAGTATGCTCTGCCAATGTATCTCTAAGTCTCTGAGTTAGAGTGTTCTACATTCCAGTGCTCCAAATGTACGTGTGGTGATCAATTCTAGAGTTGCAAACTAACAGACATTAGACTGATCCAAGTATAATGAAACAACAAAAGTAAGCAAGCAAAGCTCAATTTAAACAATTGTTCTTCTATCCTAAAAATTCTCCTTGTGAGTTGAGGAAACTATTTATTAGCCATTCTAGTCAAATAGGACTTTTCCAGAATCCCTTCATAAATTAAATACTGACTAATATAACCTGTCTGCATAATGACAACATGCACATATAAACAGAAGCAATATTGATTACACACAAACTTGCATCAGTTTCATAGTACCCAAATTCGTGTGTAACTGTCAATCATTGTTTAAATAAAATTTTATCTCCTTTCATCAAATTTCCTTTTTAGAGATACCCAGAGAAAAAGAATTATCATTAAACTCATAAGTCTATAGTGTAGCTATATAATTACAATGCTTTGGAAGGGAAGATGACCAAACTCCTATGCATGTATTTAAGTATAAATGGAATCTTCTTCTCACTGAATTGGTATACCACATCAGGCAGTATGGCAGTAACAAATTAAAAGTTTGCAGTATATCTTTCACTGCTCTCTAGTGAAGGTCTGAATTTTTGTAGCCCAGATGTGGCAACCCTAAAATCGGGCTTCAATTTGTGGCACAGGTTGGACTTATATGTATTATTAGATTTATAGCCTGCCTTTATTTTGTAGAGTTAAAGGCAGTGCACGTGATAGCTGCTGCTTTTTATTCACCCCACCCCACCCCACCCCACCCCTTTGAGGTGGGATGGGATTGATGAGAGAGTGAATAGCCTAGTCACCCGGGGAGTTTTCATGCCTAAGGGAGGATCAGCAAATCTCTAGTTCAGCACCCAGCTCCACTCAGCTAAACTTGATCAGCGATCAAATTATTTACCAGCAGGCTACGATATGGAGCGTGGTCTGAGAAAAGTCTAGGAAGGTGCAGAATCTAGTTAGGGAACCTTTTTCCTTCCTGCAGGGTCCGACTAAATTCTAAGATGGGTGTTTTTAATGGCGCTTTTAACGTAAATAACAGCAACGGGACGAGCTACCTAGGCCAGGGGTAGGCAACCTTGGCTCTTTTATGACTCGTGGACTTCAACTCCCAGAATTCCTGAGCCAGCATGGCTGGCTCAAGAATTCTGGGAATTGAAGTCCACGAGTCATAAAAGAGCCTAGGTTGCCTACCCCTGACCTAGGCTATAGCAAGGTGAGAAAGGCTCAGCCAGCTCATCCTTTCAGCGCATCCCTTGTTCCGGGTTGCAAATGTTTCCCCACAGACAAGCATACACTTGACGAAAGGTGCACCTCTGCATTTTAATTCCAGGTCTATCTAGGCAGCGGCTTTCAGCACCTCTACCCCTATTCCTTACTCTTCATCTACCTGCTGTATCTCCAATTCAGTTTCGGGCTGCAGGCGGCCAGGCAACTGGCTGGGGAATTCGCTTTGGGGCAATAAAATCGTTGCACGGTATTTGGAGTCCGGCTTCGCCTTTTGGCCCGCGCTGGGTCCTGCGGACACCGTCCCGCGGGCCCAACGTCCAACATGCTTAGGAAACCTAAGCAACGGCTGGGCCCGCAGCACCCACATCGCGGGCACTCGGTTCCACGGGCACTTCCGGAAACGCTGCGGCGAGCAACGAGGCAAAACGTCCTTCCCCGGTTCTTTTCCGGCTTCGATGGGATCCTCAGCGCCCCCTAGAGTTCGGTCCTCCTCCCTTCGTTATTTGGGGAGCCTTGCAAGCTCGGGTGCCCAGAACCCCAGCATCAGTTCAGCTTCGCAGCCCAAAATAGTGGCCTTAACTACCTAGATGAGTCTTCACTGTGCATGACATAGGAACAGAGCCCCTGTGTACATACATGTAAAGTTTGTAAACGTTATTGGCCACGTAAGAGAGCCGAGATAATGGCAATAAGGACCCGGTAGGTGGGGCGGAGAAAGAATAGGAAATCGGCACTGAGTAATCCTAGCCAGCGTTTTGTAAGAGTGGGGCTGCCTGAAAAGGAGGTATGCTATTTTCATTTTTCTCTTCTCTTTTCGGGTTATTTGCTAGATATTGATCGCTAGAGATCTTGTGATAGTGAGAGAGGTGGGGTGGCGAAATAAGGCTTTTCTTTCAATCCCGTCGTGGAAATGTCCTCGAATTAGGGAAAGACATCCACAGTCGCGAAGAGAAGACAGGCAGGCTAGAACTATTCTAGTGGCATGTTCAAGATCGTGTTATGTTCATTTGAGTGGCTAGATATGGCACAGCTGCTTTTTTAAAAAAAAATGTATCATAGTTAATATAATGAATTAGAACTTAAAAAACAACGAACAGATATGAGCAATGTGGAAAAATAGTTTCTGGGGCACTCCTACATATTTGCCTGTTCAGAAAGTTTTCAATTCAGTAGGTGTTGTTTTAAATATTTTATGTTTTAGTTAAATGTTTACAATTTTAAAAAGTTCCTGTGTTAAACCAGAAGATTTGGCTTTGAAAGACAGGGTAAAACTATTTTAAATAAGTTTTGTGCAAATCCTCACCAAGGTTTTCACCAAATAAAGGAGGACAGTTGTACTTCATAAATGATATTTTTGGTCCACTGAGATCACTGAGTGCACTGATAAGATTCAACAGCATAACTGTTAAAAATAAAGTTGGCATTTCCCATAATATTAGGTAGGGGGGGAAACTGTGCTGGCATCCTAAAATCAGCCTAATAGCTTTTATAAGCATCAGTTAAAACTTGGAACACAAGAATAAATATGTTCATGTGTGTGAGGCTCCCATCCATTTTATGTCATTGCTCAGCTCAGGTGTAGTTGTTTCAAAAATGATTCTTCAGTGCTCACCATATAGTTGTCATGATAAAAGAATATTGAAGGCAGTGCAATCCAAATTTCTTTAAAAGTGGGCAGGATCAGTGACAGGTCTAATAAGAACATGGGCTTCAAGTTCCACTGCTCAGAATGTTAAATTACCCTTTCTGTAAATGGATAGTTTATTAATTTTCATTTAAAAGTTAAAGAAACATGCAGTTTGTAGGAGAAAATGGAGCAAACTAGATATTTTATTTAAAGTAGCTACATAAAATTTACAAGGAAGTGGTGAATTGGAAAATATATTCTGCTTTAAACCAGAAAAGCTAGTTGTAAAATGTTAAAGATTACTGGGAATAAAAAGCAAGCAAACAAAATGAAGTATTTCAGCTTGTTTCCCAATGTAATAATTTAACAGACTGAATGTAGTTTAAAGGTTGTTAGCTCTCAGATTCCCTTCTCTGTTAACATGAGACGGAAGTTAGGATTTTTTTTAAATGTTGCATAATTCACAGTGAGGAAAAATAATTACTTATGTGATAATTGTCAGTATTTATTAACTCCTTTGCATGTCCACAACTATCTAAGTTGCCAACTTGCTCTACTAATAGAATCTTGAGTTTTCTCAATGTTTGAGGAATAGACAAGGATTTATGTAACTAGGAAACTTGTACAGCATTGTTTACATATCCTTGGTCTTAGCATGCTCTCAACTAGAAGAGGTGTATTGCACTGTATTGCACTGAGCCAATCTACAAAAAAGATACATGAAAGATACAAAAAAGATACATGAACCAGAAGCTCCCAATTTTCAAAGCAGCTCTAAAGGGAGTCAGATCAGAAATATAGTACAGGATTACTTCTGATCCTCCCCATCATCATGAGGCTGTCAGGATATGAAGGGAACTTGGCCTTCATAAACAGTACACGGTTTATGTTTCCAATTTTATAATGTGAGAAGAAAGTTGACAACGAAGTTACATCTGCATATGCATTTTCTTTGGAGTTGCACAGTTTCAAACTATGATTATAATTAAAAGCATATATAAGGGGAGGGAAATAAGAATATGAACAAATGTTATTCTTTGAACAAATGAACAAATGTTATTCTTTGAGGTTCCTTAAAATGCTGAGTTCATATAGTACATAAAACCATAATATGAGTTAGTGTATCTAGCCATTGTTTATTTTGTGTGAGCCCAGAAAATTGTAGCTTATTCAAATAAGTTTGGCTAAGCAAATCATGACTCAGTGAAATACTGTACATAGATCCAATCTGTATTGCTTTACTGCTTACCTCACTTACTGATCAATCATTCAGCGACTATTCAAAATTATAACAGTGCTGAAAAAAATTATGACAATTTGCAACTGTTTATGATTTTTGCAGCATCTCTTAGTCATGTGGTCACCATAACAGTCAGTATGCTTTGTCCTGTGTGAGGACCAGTCATAAAGAACTTTTTGTTCAGTGTCATAGTAACTTTGAACAATCTTAAATGAATGGTCATAAAAGGAGGACCTTGCTTATTGGAGATATAAATCATTACTATAGAGATCCTCACACTGTAGATTTAAAATGTGACATGTCATGTGACATCTGTAAATTGTAGAATTTCTTTCAAAGAACTGGCTGTGCTGAATCTTTTTTCTTCTAAGATGGGAGTTTTAGCCCACTCTGTTTGCTATCATTTCTAAAAGATGCTTTAGTGGAAAGCAATGCCAATAGAAACTAGTTTCAGATTTGCTATCCAATATATCAGATTTGACTCCAAGTCTTGGACAAGGACTTGAATAAAACTTCTGTCAGTGTCCTCTAATTGTTCCTATTGGACTGGCTACTTTACATTTGCTCCTGTTTACTTATATCTTACTACAGACTTTAGCAGTTGACTGAGTTCACACAGTGGAAAACTTAAAGGTCTGAAATGTCTTCTAGAAGCCCTCGGGATTTTCACAACTTCGCTGTGTCCTGTTTTAGGTAGCAGCTTGGTAGTTCCTGCTGCCACCATCTATCTTCCAGAGGTGTCCTATGTGACATCCACTCTGTATCCCAGCTGTGTATAAGATAGAGAGTTTATAAGCTGTGCTGCTTTTCTGACAATAAAAAATAGAAATGCAAAAAGGAAAAGTACATTTGCCATGACTGAAGACATGTGTGACTAGATGATTTGGCCCTTGCCTCTTTGAGAAATAGAACAATCTCACTGGAGATCAAAATCACACTTCCTTTAAAAAGAAAAGCTAAGTTGTAAAAAATCACATTTTGTTTTTACATTTTTGATACAAACATTTATTGCTGATAAGGTAAATTATATAGCTGACCAGTTTGGTTACAGAAGAAAATCCAGCAGAAAATAGAAGGCTTCATGCAGATCATCATGTAGTACTGGTCTGCTCCAAATGAACACTTTCAGTCAGTATCACAAAAGAGATCCTGCAGAAAGATTCCAAGTTGTTATTACCTAGCATTGGCAGCAAGTAAAAATATTCAATCTGAAGAATGGATATAGGCTGGGGTTTAAACTTCCAATTCTATTAGTGGTGCAATAGTTAGAATGCAGAATTGCAGGCTAACTCTGCCGACTGCCAGCAGTTTGATCCTGATCAGCTCAAGTTTGACTCAGCCTTCTATTCTTCCGAGGTTGGTAAAATGAAGACCCAGATTGTTGAGGGCAATATGCTGACATTTGCAAAATGCTCTGAGAGTGCTACAAAATAGTATGGAACAATATATGAATCTAAATGTTATTGCTATTGCTATATTTTATATAGAGGTGACATAATTACCTTAATTACCTTAAAGCAGGTTTTAAAATCCTAACACAAATTCTTTGTGAGACGTTAACACTTCAGAAATAGTGCTATTTGAAGCATCTGTTTCTCTGCTTCACTTTTTTGTGAAATTCCCAGCTTCTCGGAAACTCCAAATTTCAGAAAACTCCAAACTTTGGAAACTCCAAACTTTGAGGGAACAGTGTTAAACTCTGTTTTTCCAATCTTGCTCTAGCAAATTTGACAGTTTTGCCCGGTGCCTTGAAAAATCAGATCTTTCTTTTTTCATCATCCTTTCTGTATGTGACAGAGGAAATCACCTCATGAAGATGTGTATTGATATTGTCCCTCCAAGGCAGACCATATTAAGAAACCTTGATAGCAGCTCTTCCTCCTATTGTTCATGGCCACTGTCTGTCCTCTACATTTGAAATGTCTGCGCCAGCTGTTTGAAGCTATTAAATTCCTAACAGGATTCTTTTAGAAAGAAGGAGATATAATTAAAAGATTTATAATAACTATAATCTATATTTTGACTTCAAAATTACCTGGGCATTTCTGATGTGTCTTCTACTGCTATAAACTATCTATTTCTAATGAAAAAGATTCTTCAATCTTTTCCAGTGTAAGTCAGATTTCTTTCATAAGAAAATTGTGTTACTTACAAGATTGCTTTTGTTTTCTGTTGTTCTTTTTTCTACCTAGTAATCATGGCTTCTAATCCAAGTGTATTGATGCGTCTTGTGGCCTCAGCATATTCCGTGGCTAATAAAGCGGGAACAATTGTCAGAAAAGTTATGTCTGGAGGAGAACTAGGCATAGTTGAGAAGGTAAATGATCAATAGAATCCTATGTGTTTCTAGTTGGACCTTAAATATCCAAATAAAGAAGTGGATGATGCTGGTATAATGTGCAGAACAATTTTTTTGCATCTGTGCTCAAAAGTAAAGCTTGTTGTATTAATAAGGGTGTTTAGCATTATAACCTCATTTATTTTAGATGTAAAATAATATTTGGTGAGACAATTCACCTCAAGTAAACCATTCTTCTGGATCTACTCTTTGAAGTAGTGATTGCTCAAAGTGCCAGTGCAACTTATTATTTGCGTGTCCAGACAGCAGCTGTTGGAATAGCCCAGTGGTGGCGAACCTATGGCACGGGTGCCAGAGGCGGCACTCAGAGCCCTCTCTGTGGGCATGTGTGCTGTCGCCCCAGTCCTAGGCCTTCAGCTGGGTTTTATAAAACCTTTTCGCTTTAGGCCTCCGCCGCCGTGTGCAAAAAAAAAAAAAAGGTTCAGTCAATTTCAACTTCTTGCGGGAAAAAAAAGATCTGGAATTGATTGGTTGAACTTTTTAGTCCCACCCAGTCTGCCGTTACCACCGCAGCCACGCCCAGCCAATGGGCCACGCCAGCCAATGGGCCACGCCCAGCCAATGGGCCACACCCACCCGGCACTCGATGATGCATAAGTGGATTTTGGGTTGCAGTTTGGGCACTCAATCTCTAAAAGGTTCGCCATCACTGGAATAGCCATTAAAAAGGCTCATTAAATATTTTACAATTCTATCACCGATATTAGTCATTTGGACAAACATGTCATTTGCTGACATGTAGTTATATATAAAGTTATATAGCTCTTGAAATAATCTATAATGTTTCTTGCTTTGAATAGTCTTGATGACAGGGGACCGAAAAGACTAAACTTCTTGCTTTCCAAGGATGTTAAAATATTTCAGATATTTAACAACTTAGATTAGGGCCAGGAAATGTGTGGATCTCCAGTTATTGAAGTATAATTCCAGCAGCCCTAGTTAGCCTGGCTACTACTGAAAGATGCTGAAAGTCATACAGAAATATCTAGAGGACCACAGTTTTCTCACACAGAATTCAAAAAGAAAAAATAATTGATCCATATTTATTATATTTTATTCATTTTGCTCAAGGCTTGTTTCCTTACCTTTATCCTTACAAGGCCTGGGAAGATACTGGCTGACTTAATGGTATCCAGTTAGAATCAAAATAAGGACTTGATCTTTGTTATACAATATTATTAGTTATAATATTGTATATGTATAAAATGTATAATATATTCTATATAGTATAATCTTTAAAAAGGTGATGACCTCATCCATACAGTATGTTCAAATACCTTCAAAATATGATTTTACATAAAACCATATAATTATTCAGTTTTTAAAAATGGTATTTGCAAATAAGATCAGTACATGCTAATGAACTAGGCATGTATTTTTCTGAAGAAGAGTATCTTAAAATATTTACCTGCTGGTACATGATAGTATACATACACTTGAAAACTTACACAACCCCTAGGATTTTCTCAAATAGATGTTGCAAAGAGCACTTCCAGTAATTTCAGATCTTCCTAATGATAACACAATTTGATTTGGCCAAGTTGTTATTTTGATTATAAATTGATCAGGTTTCTTTTTTAATAGTGTGGAGCTAACGACCTGCAGACTAAAGCTGATCGATTGGTACAGATGAGTATTTGTTCGTCCTTGCTTCTGAAGTTTCCTAAGATGACAATCATAGGTGAAGAGGTGAGGAGTCAGCATGCTCTTTTGTATTTCTTTGATTTGATACACTACCTTTATCCTTTTTTAAAAAAAACAACAACTGCCACCAACCAGTGAGATATATACCGTTGATAATCTGCATCCTAGTCACTCTACTATTTTTCTTCTATATGATCATGACTCTGTTGCTTTATGCATTTGTATGTAACTTGCATTCAAATACTGTAATAATAACTTTTAACTACTATTATGAGGATTGTAAGACTAGAACAGATATCACGACAACAGCAGCTATATATAATATTGTTTACTTAAAATAAAAAAAGCTTCAACTATCTTGGAATTCATTTGTTTGTTTATCAATTCAAACATTTCTAGAACTGTCAATCTCACAGCAGTTACTCTGGGTGGTATGCAAAAATTAAAACCACTATAAAAATATATGGATAATCCTCAATTAATGATAGCAGTTGGGACTGGAATTTCCATTGCTAAGTGATACAGTTGTAAACATGAGATTGCATTGCTTAGCGATGGCAGTCCTGGCACTTCCTGGTTTCCATTGTTAAACAAATCCTATGCTGTTGTTAAGTGAGGATGTCATGTGGTTGCCATTTGTAATGTCCTACCAGTTTTCTGATTAATTTAGCTTGTAGAACCCGATAAAAGTCACACAGTTATCATATGATTGTGGGATGCTGTGATGCTGTAATTGTGAGCCAGGTGCCAAATACCCTGATCACAACTACATGACTGCAGGGATGCTGCAATGGCCATAACATCAAGAACTAGTTGTAAGTACCACTCATTCAGTGCCATCCCAAGTTCAAACAGTCCTTGAATAAGTAGTCATTAAGTGAGGATAATCGTAAACTGATTTCTTAATAGGTCTTCAGCAGAGTCCTTGATCTCAAATGGCTCATGCATTTAAACATTTAAAGCTTTTATTTAGTGACATCTGAACTTGGGGGTCCTACTTTACAAGATTCATCTTTCTTAGTTTGATGTATAGTCTGCATGCTTTTAACATTTTAACATGAAATTTGTAAGCATTTAGCATTATTGAAATTTGTCTCTCCTCCATTTTAATTTCATTACAAATGCTTGCATGTGTGCATTTAATAAAGAACATTAGTTATATTGCATTTTCAGCTGTAGCAATAAGACTATTTTTGCAACTTACATTTTGGGTTAGCACTGTTTTACGATCATTGCAACCAAATTGTAATCAGTTGTAACCAATTTTGCAGGTAATGTTATAGACCCATCTATACTATCTATTGCATAGACTTTTGCTGATAATTTTAGGCATACTGCAGCACTAAAAAGTCCAGCTTTCAAAAACTTCTCTTTCATTAAAATTATTTAAACTTGCCTCTAGTTGGCTAATATAAATGAATAAGAATTTTTGACTTTAATTGCATATACTTTTTTTAAAAAACAAAAACAAAAACACAGGATCTTCCCTGTGAAGAAGTCAGTGAAGACTTACTTGACAAAAGCCAATGTGAGGAGATACTGAAGCAAACCTGTCCACCACAGTATACAGCTATCAAAGAGGAAGAGGTATTTAAAAGGCTTTTTTTTTACAGACAGTAACAACTACGCAGGATGAGAAATAGTAATAACTATGGGGTGGAATGAATTGTGATTTGAGAAGTGATTGACTATTTATGAGTCCACTGCAGCTGGGCAGCCATTGCGGCCTAGCAATGATTTACTCTCCACGCTTTCCCCTTCTGAAACTTTCTGCTTTTCTTTTTGTTTCCTTCAAGCTTGTTGTGTGGGTCGATCCTCTGGACGGAACAAAAGAATATACCGAAGGTTTGTTCTTTTGTGTGTGTGTGTGTGTGTGTTTGTGTGTGTGTGTGTATTTAGTAAACATTTTCATTTATACTTAATGACAAAACTATCCACAATTGTCTGGCTTCTAGATTAATATCTATCATTTATGTGTGACCATAAAATATGCAGAAGTCACGGTCACCCTTTAGAAGTTTGGTAGTACAATAGAAACTGTGCAATGAGAATAGATAATTGAATGACTCATTCTTCATTATTGACTAAGGCTCAATTTTTCCTTAGCAGTGCATTTACACTATAAATTTATGTGGATGTATTTTTGTGCTAGAAGCTACCACCTAAAACAGTAACCACCACATTTTATCTGTTTTAATTATTATATTTTTGTAAGGAATCAAGGATATCTATGTGGTTCTCTTTCCTCTCTAATATGGGGTACGTCAAGCTGAGAATTATGTACCATAAAACAAGCCCAGAACTTTTGTTTGATATTGCTTTATTGCTGCAAGGACATAATTCTTGCCATGATGGCTAGCATATTTTAAGATTGCATTTTGAGTTGTAATAGAAAGTTCATCCAACTGGTTATTCCAGGGGTAGAAAGTTGGAAGTGAATGTCTAGTTACTTAAAATCCTTAACCTGATCAATTGGTCTTTTGTTAATTTCTTATGTGACAATGAACTTAAAAGCCCGTTGAGAGCCAGTTTGGTGTATAGGTAGTTCTTGACTTACCATTGCAATTGGGACCAGAATATCAGTCATTGAGCAAAGCAGTTGTTAAGCAAGATTTCCATGTGACTGCTTCACTCAATAACGGGGAAGCACTCCTTCCCAATACTCCTGGTTGCAGTTGTTAAGCAATCTTGGATTGAGGCCCATAAAAAAAATACTCCAGCTGTTTTGAAGTCCTAAGAGTTCCAGTCAGCATAGCCAGTGGTAAGGGATACTGAAAATAGTGATTCAGCAATGACTGGATGATTATAGATTTCCCATCTGTCTTACACAAACATACTATGATTAATATATATCATCTACAGTCACACAAGTATCATAATTATTTAATTCTTCAGTACTTACATTATTGAAACAGGCACAAATCAGCCCCCCCCCCCAATTTCTAATTGCTATTTACATTACCTCTGGTTTTTTTTTTTTTTTTTTTGNTTTGGGGCAATAAAATCGTTGCACGGTATTTGGAGTCCGGCTTCGCCTTTTGGCCCGCGCTGGGTCCTGCGGACACCGTCCCGCGGGCCCAACGTCCAACATGCTTAGGAAACCTAAGCAACGGCTGGGCCCGCAGCACCCACATCGCGGGCACTCGGTTCCACGGGCACTTCCGGAAACGCTGCGGCGAGCAACGAGGTAAAACGTCCTTCCCCGGTTCTTTTCTGGTTTCGATGGGATCCTCAGCGCCCCCTAGAGTTCGGTCCTCCTCCCTTCGTTATTTGGGGAGCCTTGCAAGCTCGGGTGCCCAGAACCCCAGCATCAGTTCAGCTTCGCAGCCCAAAATAGTGGCCTTAACTACCTAGATGAGTCTTCACTGTGCATGACATAGGAACAGAGCCCCTGTGTACATACATGTAAAGTTTGTAAACGTTATTGGCCACGTAAGAGAGCCGAGATAATGGCAATAAGGACCCGGTAGGTGGGGCGGAGAAAGAATAGGAAATCGGCACTGAGTAATCCTAGCGAGCGTTTTGTAAGAGTGGGGCTGCCTGAAAAGGAGGTATGCTATTTTCATTTTTCTCTTCTCTTTTCGGGTTATTTGCTAGATATTGATCGCTAGAGATCTTGTGATAGTGAGAGAGGTGGGGTGGCGAAATAAGGCTTTTCTTTCAATCCCGTCGTGGAAATGTCCTCGAATTAGGGAAAGACATCCACAGTCGCGAAGAGAAGACAGGCAGGCTAGAACTATTCTAGTGGCATGTTCAAGATCGTGTTATGTTCATTTGAGTGGCTAGATATGGCACAGCTGCTTTTTAAAAAAAAATGTATCATAGTTAATATAATGAATTAGAACTTAAAAAACAACGAACAGATATGAGCAATGTGGAAAAATAGTTTCTGGGGCACTCCTACATATTTGCCTGTTCAGAAAGTTTTCAATTCAGTAGGTGTTGTTTTAAATATTTTATGTTTTAGTTAAATTTTTACAATTTTAAAAAGTTCCTGTGTTAAACCAGAAGATTTGGCTTTGAAAGACAGGGTAAAACTATTTAAAATAAGTTTTGTGCAAATCCTCACCAAGGTTTTCACCAAATAAAGGAGGACAGTTGTACTTCATAAATGATATTTTTGGTCCACTGAGATCACTGAGTGCACTGATAAGATTCAACAGCATAACTGTTAAAAATAAAGTTGGCATTTCCCATAATATTAGGTGGGGGGGGGGGAAACTCTGGTGGCATCCTAAAATCAGCCTAATAGATTTTATAAGCATCAGTTAAAACTTGGAACACAAGAATAAATATATTCATGTGTGTGAGGCTCCCATCCATTTTATGTCATTGCTCAGCTCAGGTGTAGTTGTTTCAAAAATGATTCTTCAGTGCTCACCATATAGTTGTCATGATAAAAGAATATTGAAGGCAATGCAATCCAAATTTCTTTAAAAGAGGGCAGGACCAGTGACAGTCTAATAAGAACATGGGTTTCAAGTTCCACTGCTCAGAATGATAAATTACCCTTTCTGTAAATGGATAGTTTATTAATTTTCATTTAAAAGTTAAAGAAACATGCAGTTTGTAGGAGAAAAAGGAGCAAACTAGATATTTTATGTAAAGTAGTTACATAAAATTTACAAGGAAGTGGTGAATTGGAAAATATATTCTGCTTTAAACCAGAAAAGCTAGTTGTAAAATGTTAAAGATTACTGGGAATAAAAAGCAAGCAAACAAAATGAAGTATTTCAGCTTGTTTCCCAATGTAATAATTTAACAGACTGAATGTAGTTTAAAGGTTGCTAGCTCTCAGATTCCCTTCTCTGTTAACATGAGACGGAAGTTAGGATTTTTTTTTAATGTTGCATAATTCACAGTGTGGAAAAAGGATTACTTACGTGATAATTGTCAGTATTTATTAACTCCTTTGCATGTCCACAACTATCTAAGTTGCCAACTTGCTCTACTAATGGAATCTTGAGTTTTCTCAATGTTTGAGGAATAGACAAGGATTTATGTAACTAGGAAACTTGTACAGCATTGTTTACATATCCTTGGTCTCAGCATGCTCTCAACTAGAAGAGGTGAGACTACAAAAAAGATTGGCTCAGTGCAATACATGAACCAGAACCTCCCAATCTTCAAAGCAGCTCTAAAGGGAGTCAGATTAGAAATATAGTACAGGATTACTTCTGATCCTCCCCATCATCATGAGGCTGTCAGGATATGAAGGGAACTTGGCCTTCATAAACAGTACACGGTTTATGTTTCCAATTTTATAATGTGAGAAGAAAGTTGACAACGAAGTTACATCTGCATATGCATCTTCTTTGGAGTTGCACAGTTTCAAACTATGATTATAATTAAAAGCATATATAAGGGGAGGGAAATAAGAATATGAACAAATGCACTGTAACCTGTATAAGCTTATGTTATTCTTTGAGGTTCCTGAAAATGCTGAGTTCATATAGCACATAAAACCATAATATGAGTTAGTGTATCTAGCCATTGTTTATTTTGTGTGAGCCCAGAAAATTGTAGCTTATTCAAATAAGTTTGGCTAAGCAAATCATGACTCAGTGAAATACTGTACATAGATCCAATCTGTATTGCTTTACTGCTTACCTCGCTTACTGATCAATCATTCAGTGACTATTCAAAATTATAACAGTGCTGAAAAAAAATATGACAATTTGCAACTATTTATGATTTTTGCAGCATCTCTTAATCATGTGGTCACCATAACAGTCAGTATGCTTTGTCCTGTGTGAGGACCAGTCATAAATAACTTTTTGTTCAGTGTCATAGTAACTTTGAACAATCTTAAATGAATGGTCATAAAAGGAGGACCTTGCTTATTGGAGATATAAATCATTACTATAGAGATCCTCACACTGTAGATTTAAAATGCGACATGTCATGTGACATCTGTAAATTGTAGAATTTCTTTCAAATAACTGGCTGTGCTGAATCTTTTTTCTTCTAAGATGGGAGTTTTAGCCCACTTTGTTTGCTATCATTTCTAAAAGATGCTTTAGTGGAAAGCAATGCCAATAAAAACTAGTTTCAGATTTGCTATCCAGTATATCAGATTTGACTCCAAGTCTTGGACAAGGACTTGAATAAAACTTCTGTCAGTGTCCTCTAATTGTTCCTATTGGACTGGCTACTTTACATCTGCTCCTGTTTACTTATATCTTACTACAGACTTTAGCAGTTGACTGAGTTCACACAGTGGAAAACTTAAAGGTCTGAAATGTCTTCTAGAAGCCCTCGGGATTTTCACAACTTCGCTGTGTCCTGTTTTAGGTAGCAGCTTGGTAGTTCCTGCTGCCACCATCTATCTTCCAGAGGTGTCCTATGTGACATCCACTCTGTATCCCAGCTGTGTATAAGATAGTTTATAAGCTGTGCTGCTTTTCTGACAATAAAAAATAGAAATGCAAAAAGGAAAAGTACATTTGCCATGACTGAAGACATGTGTGACTAGATGATTTGGCCCTTGCCTCTTTGAGAAATAGAACAATCTCACTGGAGATCAAAATCACACTTCCTTTAAAAAGAAAAGCTAAGTTGTAAAAAATCACATTTTGTTTTTACATTTTTGATACAAACATTTATTGCTGATAAGGTAAATTATATAGCTGACCAGTTTGGTTACAGAAGAAAATCCAGCAGAAAATAGAAGGCTTCATGCAGATCATCATGTAGTACTGGTCTGCTCCAAATGAACACTTTCAGTCAGTATCACAAAAGAGATCCTGCAAAAAGATTCCAAGTTGTTATTACATAGCATTGGCAGCAAGTAAAAATATTCAATCTGAAGAATGGATATAGGCTGGGGTTTAAACTTCCAATTCTATTAGTGGTGCAATAGTTAGAATGCAGTATTGCAGGCTAACTCTGCCGACTGCCAGCAGTTTGATCCTGATCAGCTCAAGTTTGACTCAGCCTTCCATTCTTCCGAGGTTGGTAAAATGAGGACCCAGATTGTTGAGGGCAATATGTGACCTTTGCAAAATGCTCTGAGAGTGCTACAAAATAGTATGGAATGATATATGAATCTAAATGTTATTGCTATTGCTATATTTTATATAGAGGTGACATAATTACCTTAATTACCTTAAAGCAGGTTTTAAAATCCTAACACAAATTCTTTGTGATGTTAACACTTCAGAAATAGTGCTATTTGAAGCATCTGTTTCTCTGCTTCACTTTTTCTGAAATTCCCAGCTTCTCGGAAACTCCAAATCTCAGAAAACTCCAAACTTTGGAAACTCCAAACTTTGGGGAACAGTGTTAAACTCTATTTTTCCAACCTTGTTCTAGCAAATTTGGCAGTTTTGCCATGAAAAACCAGATATTTCTTTTTTCATCATCCTTTCTGTATGTAACAGAGGAAATCACCTCATGAAGATGTGTATTGATATTGTCCCTCCAAGGCAGACCATATTAAGAAACCTTGATAGCAGTTCTTCCTCCTGTTGTTCATGGCCACTGTCTGTGTCCTCTACATTTGGAAATGTCTGCACCAGCTGTTTGAAGCTATTAAATTCCTAACAGGATTCTTTTAGAAAGAAGGAGATATAATTAAAAGTTTTATAATAACTCTAATCTATATTTTGACTTCAAAATTACCTGGGTATTTCTGATGTGTCTTCTACTGCTATAAACTGTCTATTTCTAATGAAAAAGATTCTTCAATCTTTTCCAGTGTAAGTCAGACTTTTTTTCATAAGAAAATTGTATTACTTACAAGATTGCTTTTGTTTTCTGTTGTTCTTTTTTCTACCTAGTAATCATGTCTTCTAATCCAAGTGTATTGATGCGTCTTGTGGCCTCAGCATATTCCGTGGCTAATAAAGCGGGAACAATTGTCAGAAAAGTTATGTCTGGAGGAGAACTAGGCATAGTGGAGAAGGTAAATGATCAATAGAATCCTATGTGTTTCTAGTTGGACCTTAAATATCCAAATAAAGAAGTGGATGATGCTGGTATAATGTGCAGAACAATTTTTTTGCATCTGTGCTCAAAAGTAAAGCTTGTTGTATTAATAAGGGTGTTTAGCATTGTAACCTCGTTTATTTTAGATGTAAAATATAATTTGGTGAGACAATTCACCTGCAAGTAAACCATTCTTCTGGATCTACTCTTTGAAGTAGTGATTGCTCAAAGTGCCAGTGCAACTTATTTGCGTGTCCAGACAGCAACTGTTGGAATAGCCATTAAAAAGGTTCATTAAATATTTTACAATTCTATCATCGATATTAGTCATTTGGACAAACATGTCATTTGCTGACATGTAGTTATATATAAAGTTATATAGCTCTTGAAATAATCTATAATGTTTCTTGCTTTGAATAGTCTTGATGACAGGGGACCAAAAAGACTAAACTTTTTGCTTTCCAAGGATGTTAAAATATTTCAGATATTTAACAACTTAGATTAGGGCTGGGAAATGTGTGGATCTCCAGTTATTGAAGTATAATTCCAGCAGCCCTAGTTAGCCTGGCTACTACTGAAAGATGCTGAAAGTCATACAGAAATATCTAGAGGACCACAGTTTTCTCACACAGAACTGAAAAAGAAAAAATAATTGATCCATATTTATTATATTTTATTCATTTTGCTCAAGGCTTGTTTCCTTACCTTTATCCTTACAATGCCTGGGAAGATACTGGCTGACTTAATGGTATCCAGTTAGAATCAAAATAAGGACTTGATCTTTGTTATACAATATTATTAGTTATAATATTGTATATGTATAAAATGTATAATATATTCTATATAGTATAATCTTTAAAAAGGTGATGACCTCATCCATACAGTATGTTCAAATACCTTCAAAAATATGATTTTACATAAAACCATATAATTATTCAGTTTTTAAAAATGGTATTTGCAAATAGGATCAGTACATGCTAGTGAACTAGGCATGTATAGTAGTATTGCTCAAGGCAAATATTTTTCAGAAGAAGAGTATCTTAAAATATTTACCTGCTGGTACATGATAGTATACATACACTTGAAAACTTACACAACCCCTAGGATTTTCTCAAATAGATGCTGCAAAGAGCACTTCCAGTAATTTCAGATCTTCCTAATGATAACACAATTTGATTTGGCCAAGTTGTTATTTTGATTATAAATTGATCAGGTTTCTTTTTTAATAGTGTGGAGCTAATGACCTGCAGACTAAAGCTGATCGATTGGTACAGATGAGTATTTGTTCGTCCTTGCTTCTGAAGTTTCCTAAGATGACAATCATAGGTGAAGAGGTGAGGAGTCAGCATGCTCTTTTGTATTTCTTTGATTTGATACACTACCTTTATCCTTAAAAAAAAACAAAAAACCTGCCACCAACCAGTGAAACATATACTGTTGATAATCTGCATCCTAGTCACTCTACTATTTTTCTTCTATACGATCATGACTCTGTTGCTTTATGCATTTGTATGTAACTTGCATTCAAATACTGTAATAAGAACTTTTAACTACTATTATGAGGATTGTAAGACTAGAACAGATATCACGACAACAGCAGCTATATATAATATTGTTTACTTAGAAATAAAAAAAAGCTTCAACTATCTTGGAATTCATTTGTTTGTTTATCAATTCAAACATTTCTAGAACTGTCAATCTCACAGCAGTTACTCTGGGTGGTATGCAAAAATTAAAACCACTATAAAAATATATGGATAAACCTCAATTAATGATAGCAGTTGGACTGGAATTTCCATTGCTAAGTGATACGGTTGTAAAGTCATGAGATTGCATTGCTTAGCGATGGCAGTCCTGGCACTTCCTGGTTTCCATTGTTAAACAAATCCTATGCTGTTGTTAAGTGAGGATGTCATGTGGTTGCCATTTGTAATCTCCTACCAGTTTTCTGATTAATTTAGCTTGTAGAACCCGATAAAAGTCACACAGTTATCATATGATTGTGGGATGCTGTGATGCTGTAATTGTGAGCCAGGTGCCAAATACCCTGATCACAACTACATGACTGCAGGGATGCTGCAATGGCCATAACATCAAGAACTAGTTGTAAGTACCACTCATTCAGTGCCATCCCAAGTTCAAACAGTCCTTGAATAAGTAGTCATTAAGTGAGGATAATTGTAAACTGATTTCTTAATAGGTCTTCAGCAGAGTCCTTGATCTCAAATGGCTCATGCATTTAAACATTTAAAGCTTTTATTTAGTGACATCTGAACTTGGGGGTCCTACTTTACAAGATTCGTCTTTCTTAGTTTGATGTATAGTCTGCATGCTTTTAACATTTTAACATGAAATTTGTAAGCATTTAGCGTTATTGAAATTTGTCTCTCCTCCATTTTATTTTTCATTACAAATGCTTGCATGTGTGCATTTAATAAAGAACATTAGTTATATTGCATTTTCAGCTGTAGCAATAAGACTATTTTTGCAACTTACATCTTGGGTTAGCACTGTTTTGCGATCATTGCAACCAAATTGTAATCAGTTGTAACCAATTTTGTAGGTAATGTTATAGACCCATCTATACTATCTATTCCAGTGGTGGCGAACCTATGGCACGGGTGCCAGAGGCGGCACTCAGAGCCCTCTCTGTGGGCACGCCCGCCGTCGCCCCAGTCCTATGCCTTCAGCTGGGTTTTGTAAAACCTTTTTGCTTTAGGGCTCTGCCGTCGTGTGCAAAAAAAATAAAGGTTCAATGAGTCAATTTCAACTTCTCGCGGGAAAAAAAACGGTCTTGCAAAGTTGGAATTGATTGATTGAACTTTTTAGTCCCACCCAGTCTGCCATTACCACTGCAGCCACGTCCACCCAATTGGCCACACCCACTCATTTGGCCACACCCACCCGGCACCCGACAATGCATAAGTGGGTTTGGGGTTGCAGTTTGGGCACTCGATCTCTAAAAGGTTCGCCATCACTGATCTATTGCATAGACTTTTGCTGATAATTTTAGGCATACCGCAGCACTAAAAAGTCCAGCTTTCAAAAACTTCTCTTTCATTAAAATTATTTAAAATTTCCTCTAGTTGGCTAATATAAATGAATAAGGATTTTTGACTTTAATTGCATATACTTTTTTTTAAAACAAAAACACAGGATCTTCCCTGTGAAGAAGTCAGTGAAGACTTACTTGACAAAAGCCAATGTGAGGAGATACTGAAGCAAACCTGTCCACCACAGTATACAGCTATCAAAGAGGAAGAGGTATTTAAAAGGCTTTTTTTTTTTACAGACAGTAACAACTACGCAGGATGAGAAATAGTAATAACTATGGGGTGGAATGAATTGTGATTTGAGAAGTGATTGACTTTATGAGTCCACTGCAGCTGGGCAGCCATTGCGGCCTAGCAATGATTTACTCTCCACGCTTTCCCCTTCTGAAACTTTCTGCTTTTCTTTTTGTTTCCTTCAAGCTTGTTGTGTGGGTCGATCCTCTGGACGGAACAAAAGAATATACCGAAGGTTTGTTCTTTTGTGTGTGTGTGTGTGTGTGTGTTTGTGTGTGTGTGTGTGTATTTAGTAAACATTTTCATTTGTACTTAATGACAAAACTATCCACAATTGTCTGGCTTCTAGATTAATATCTATCATTTATGTGTGACCATAAAATATGTAGAAGTCACGGTCACCCTTTAGAAGTTTGGTAGTACAATAGAAACTGCAATGAGAATAGATAATTGAATGATTCATTCTTCATTATTGACTAAGGCTCAATTTTTCCTTAGCAGTGCATTTACACTATAAATTTATGTGGACGTATTTTTGTGCTAGAAGCTACCACCTAAAACAGTAACCACCACATTTTATCTGTTTTAATTATTATATTTTTGTAAGGAATCAAGGATATCTATGTGGTTCTCTTTCCTCTCTAATATGGGGTATGTCAAGCTGAGAATTATGTACCATAAAACAAGCCCAGAACTTTTGTTTGATATAGCTGTATTGCTGCAAGGACATAATTCTTGCCATGATGGCTAGCATATTTTAAGATTGCATTTAAAAAGTTTTTGAGTTGTAATAGAAAGTTCATCCAATTGGTTATTCCAGGGGTAGAAAGTTGGAAGTGGATGTCTAGTTACTTAAAATCCTTAACCTGATCAATTGGTCTTTTGTTAATTTCTTATGTAACAATGAACTTAAAAGCCCGTTGAGAGCCAGTTTGGTGTATAGGTAGTTCTTGACTTACCATTGCAATTGGGACCAGAATATCGGTCATTGAGCAAAGCAGTTGTTAAGCGAGATTTCCATGTGACTGCTTCACTCAATAACGGGGATGCACTCCTTCCCAATACTCCTGGTTGCAGTAGTTAAGCAATCTTGGATTGAGGCCCCTAAAAAAATACTCCAGCTCTTTTGAAGTCCTAAGAGTTCCAGTCAGCATAGCCAGTGGTAAGGGACACTGAAAATAGTGATTCAGCAATGACTGGATGATTATAGATTTCCCATCTGTGTTACACAAACATACTATGAATTCAATACAGTCACACAAGTATCATAATTATTTAATTCTTCAGTACTTACATTATTGAAACAGGCACAAATCAGCCCCCCCCCCCTTTCTAATTGCTATTTACATTACCTCTGGTTTTTTTTTTTTGAGGTATATGGGGATCTAGAAAACTGAAAAAACACCACAACTTACTTCTTGCAAATTACTTCTTGATCTAACAATAGATACATCTGGGATTGCATCATGGTCACTGTCTACAGAATTGATGCCTTTGGCAATTTTGCTTGATTAGAAATCACGAAATGTTCTATGGATTTGATCCCAGAGAGTAGTGAAGTGGAAGATACCGTGTTAAAGCAAAGCAGGTGTGGGTTCTGCTTTATTGTTTAATGAAATGGAAGAAAAATGACCTTGAGTTAGAAATGGCAGTAGTAAAATGCAGCAAGTTTCAGTACTATAATGTGTAAAACTTTAATTGGGTCTTGTTTTAGTTCTGACTTTATGTATTGACTGATGTTTTGCATATTGTGTAAACCCAACCAATGGCTTGTTTAACAAATATAGATAAGCAACTTAGTGTAGGAACATGATCAAATATAAACAATCACTAAAATTATAGACTACCGTGTAAGTCAAGTATAAAAAGTTAGAAGAAACTTGATTCATTTCCCAGTGACAGATGTTTATTATCTCTTTCAGGACTTCTTGACCACGTAACAGTTCTTATTGGTATTGCTTACCAAGGAAAAGCTATTGCAGGGGTCATTAATCAACCATATTTCAACTATGAGGTAGGAAATGCTTTAATTTCCAAAACTTTTTTCTCCATCTAATTTAAACAGTTAATGTTCTTCTATTTAACTGCTTATCACTTCTAATTAGCTAGAATAAGGGGGTTAACTGACTTGTTACTTAGAAGAAGAAATGGCCTTTTTTTCTATCTAAAGGGTCCTAATTAAAAGTATGTTCACTCATGCCAGATTTGGGACTAGCATAAATCCAAATTTCAGACTGCATGTACTGTGGGAGCTGACCAGGCTGAGCCCGAGGGATGGGTCAGTCTTGAGTCCCTTCACACCCTCAAGAGATCTAAATCCAGCCAGCCTTGAATTGGCAGCTCTTATTTGCTGCCAATTTACTTTGACAATTAGTAGTTCAGATTCTTGTAGAGAACATTGGCTTACAATAAACCTATATTCATTTGAACTGTCTGGACTCCTGATTTCCTGTGCTTGACATATAGTACATTTTTGGCATTCAGCACAATAATCCTTTCATTTTCTCAGTGGTTTCAACAAAGGAATCAGGAAAATGTCTTGTATAGCTGCAAAAATTAGTAACTCATTTTCCTATACAAAATTATAGTATGTGTTGAATTTTGCTAAGGTGAGGTCTGAATTTAGTAAACATTCTGAAAATTTTGCGGAAATAAGCTAATGTTGACAAAGTATCTCCCTATCCTGATTACTCTAGATTTTAAACATCTGTGGATATGCCTTCTCTTCTTGTTAATTTAATTTCTATATGAGAATGTACCATATGTACATTGCCTATATTGGTGACTATAGTTATGACAAAATGAAAATAATGCAGAACAAACATACTGGTAACTGAAACAGTAAAGTTGAAAATATACTGAATAATAAAAAGGATCTCTCATGAATGAAGGCAAATCTATGCGTCCCAGGATAATGTTGCAGGATCAAATCTGAGTCTCACACATTCTGAGGATGGATGCCACATGAGTCCAAAGGCTTGGAAGAATAAACCTCTGGTCCTGGTGACCAACTCAGATTGGATCCTGCAACAAAAAGTATAGATGAAGTTCTTCAGTTAGATAATTAAGGCAGACTAAAGTTGCAAACCTCTACCTACTTGCATAACAGTAAGTCTTATTCTTTCAGCAGCAGAATTGTAGTATTTATCTGAAAGAAAGAAATGTATCTTTGCAAATAACATATATTTAAATGGTTCATATTAAACTTGCTGATAATGCAAGAATGTAAGGCAGGGGTAGTCAACCTTGGCTCTTTTATGACTCGTGGACTTCAATTCCCAGAATTCCTGAGCCAGCTTAGCTGGCTCAGGAATTCTGGGAGTTGAAGTCCACGAGTCATAAAAGAGCCAAGGTTGACTACCCCTGATGTAAGGGAACAGATTAGTTTTGTCTAACCTTCCTGGAGGAGGGAATATGCTAAATTTAGGATCATTATTCTTTTACAGAAATACAGTATGCCCAACTATCATATATACTTATTCCTTTTGTTTATTTTTCAAAATGAGACTAGAATATTCAAATCTTTCTTGCAGGCAGGTGCAGATGCGGTTCTAGGCAGGACGATATGGGGAATCCTTGGTTTGGGCGCCTTTGGGTTTCAGTTGAAAGAGGTACCAGCTGGGCAGCACATCATTACCACCACAAGGTCACACAGCAGCAAAATGGTAAATGACTGCATTAGCGCAATGAAGCCTGATAGCGTGGTGAGAGTTGGAGGTGCTGGTAATAAGGTATGGACATCTCTAAATTTTAATGCCATGATAATAGGGTTAATTTTTTAAAAGTTCAAGATGAGACATTCATTTTTATAATAGTGCCACAAAGTTTTCCAATAAATGATGTACATCTTTCAATTTGATTTCAACCACATTGTATGGATGGGGCATAGGAATTATGGAAATAATGTTAATTGTTTTGGCCTCTTTGGGATTTTATTTATTTGTATGTCATATTTATGTTGCAACCTTCAAGGTGGTGGAGATTCTTAAAAGAATGGCTTAGAAATGGATCGATACTTTTTTTTAGAGAGAATGTCCTTACCTCTTGTCAAGAATGTTCTGTTTTTCTCATAAGCCATGACCTAATTAAAATGTGAATGGTAAATTTTGCCATTTGAATCATAATACCTTTATCATCTGAAAAATGTGTATAATTATATGTATAGAGAAAGTGCTTATTACGTATATATAAGAGCAATGGGAAAAAAAGCCATAGAAAGTAGTCAAGAACTAAAACATTGATCTGTATGTGACCTCATTCCTTATCTTTAAAAACATTGTATGTGTGCATATTAAATGACTGAGGTTTTTTATTTGTGTCAGATCATTCAACTTGTTGAAGGCAAAGCTTCTGCATATGTATTTGCCAGTCCTGGATGCAAGAAGTGGGATACATGTGCACCAGAGGCTATTTTGCATGCAGTTGGAGGTGAGTTAATAAATATATTGGAGAAATAGAAACAAGGAGATTTATAAACACCTCTCTTTGTAAAGAGCTACAACTAAGAGGCCCACGATGCTAACTTAAAACCTAGTATTTTAAAAATATGTTTATATTTTTTTCAATGAAGCATACAGATGTATTTATTGGCTTAATATATGTTATTTCCTAACTGATGGTCATCTCTGCTATTTTTCTTTCTGTAGCTGGACAAAAGCTTAACAATGATTGCTCTTTTGGATTTTAACCCTTAATTATGTGATATAATTATAGTGATAGTGATCATGTGATAGTGATATTTTTTGTATATATGTGGCACAGATTTAAATTAAGTTTTCTTTTATTCATATCTGTTGATATTGACAGATATGAATAAAAGAAAAAGCAATTTCTAAATTTTTCAAATATAAACAAATAAGCAAGAAAACAAAACTTGATGATTATGCTATTATAGGATGCTTGGGCTCTGCAACCTGTGAAAATTGTTTGGAAATAAGTGCTTCAGAACCCAAAAGAACACAAAAACCTGCTCTTATCTTTTAAAGTAGGCTGCTATTATCTCTAGGCTTCTAGGAAAGTCTGACAAAAGTTGTAGCTGCTTTAAGAATCCTATTAATTAAGAGTTAATTTCTTAAAGTATGTATGCTTTAAAGAAAATGGAGAAAGGCTGCTCTAATCATGAGATATTCTAAGTACTGCTTCAAAATAATTTTCTGAGTAAGCATAACCTTACAGTGGACTCAGATAACTATTAGTTCTCCAGCTAATCCACTATTGCTTTTCTTTATGAGATGGGTATTGGGGGTTGATGTGTGTAGAAAAGATCTATCTTTAAACCTTTTTTAAGGTCAGGAGAATTATACTAATCTTTTGACAATTTTGTATACTAAAGCACATTGATTATATTGTGATTTACCTGTTATACTAAAACATAAGGAAAAATTCAAATTTAGCCAACTGTAATTTGGAAAAGGAAAATTCAGTTTTGTGAACTACTTTTGTTTATCCTTTTGTAGAAATACAGATACCATGTCTAAATTCTTTCAAATATAGTCTTGTTTTCTTTCTTCACAGGCAAACTTACTGATATTCATGGGAACTTTTTTCATTATAATAAAGAGGTCAAACACATGAATTCAGGAGGAGTCCTTGCTACTTTAAAAAATCATGACTATTATGCCAGTCGAGTTCCTGAAGCAGTCAAAAAAGCCCTTGTGCCCTAAAAAATGCAGAGGATGGTGCATTCCATTTGGCTGGAAAGAAATTCTTAGCTGAAATAAATTGTGATTTTTGATAGGGTAACATTTTGGACCAGTTCCATTATCTTTAGTTAAGAGTTTTGTTGCTTGCTTGACTTAATATACATTCTGGTAAATCTGAGATTTTAATTTTCAGTAGGAATATTAGTGACTTCAGTAAAGTTGTCCAGGTCTCCTAATGCTTATTAATATTATCATATATGTTCACCTATCCAATTATCAAATCCTTATTCAATCTTTCTTGATTTGAAGACAAAAAATAAATAAGTGAACCACAGTTACTTCCAATGCCTTTTGTATGGAAGATTCATTCATGCATGCTTCACTTGAAGGGATCATTTTGTCTAGCTAGCTCGCTAGCTCTTTTCTTTAAATATACATGGATGCATGGGATGTATGTCTGTTCTGTGCCTAATTCCCCCCTCCTCCATTTTCACGTGATATGCTTATGTAGAGAGATATGGAAATATACTTGTTTTAACTTTTATATGCTGAAGAATACAATCTTGAAATAAAATTATAATTTTTGTTGATACATTTGTGAAGTTTTTATTCGTGGGTTTGGCTTGCTTTGACCTCAGTTAAAAGGGTTCTTTTCCTGGTTTATACCTGTATCTCTGACTGGTAGATCTGAACCTGAAAAACTAGCAGTTTGAATTAGTGGTCCTTCCTCTGCATTGCATCTGAAACAGGTGCAGATCTCAAAAAACAGCTGGTGCCGGACAAAGGTCTGGCAGAGTTGGTCCCTTTTCGCGAGGGATGTTTCTGAAGACCCAAATGGACTCAGCTTTCCAATCTTTGACAAGCTCAACAGAAGCAAGCCCGGGCTTCATTCTGTTGGGTCTAATTAAGGGCTACGACACGTTCTGCAACCAATACTTAGGAATAGGCGTTGCGGCTCCCGAAAGCGTGTGGAAAGGCTCCAAGGCGCGGCGGGGAGGAGGGAGGCGAAGGCGTGGACGAGGCTGGCCCAGCCCTCTGACAAGATGGGAGGCGGGACCAGAGCCAGATTGGCGAAGGGGAGGGCCCTCTCGGCCTCGCAGCCGCGTCGCATTCCTTCCCGGTTCTTTCTCCTGCCGCTGCTGAAATGGCGCTGAGCCTGACGGTCAACCCCGGCGATCTGCCTCTCGGTAAGGACTTCCTGCTCCTTTTGCTCCCACGTCCTCCGCCCGAAATACACGCCGGTTATGAGTGCCTCAACCTTCACACACACACCCCACCTCCTCCTCCCGGCTGCTTTGCCCGGGCCAGGTATTGCTGCCATGTTGCATCAGGCACCGTACGCGGGGAGCCATTGGCCGACGCTTCATTCATCCGCCTCTTTCTCTCAAGCCGGTTCCTGGGTAACGTTTCTAGAGGAGGTCAAAGCGATGGGCAAAAGGCTGCTGTCACCTGGGTCGGGTGTTCGTGTGTGTGTGTATGGGGGGGAGGGGTGGCTAACGAAAGCAGGGATCGTCGGGTAGTGGAGCTGAGATGATGAAAGGGAATTTGAGGTTTTTGACATTGATAGAGACGAGGGTCAAGAGGTCCAGACGTTCAGTGGAGGTGGATTAGAGAGAAAGGCACTGACACGTGGCACAGATTGTAGGGGATTCTCTGGAGGAGTAAATGTTGGTCATAGGCATTTCTTACCCACTAACTTGTGTTTCTGGGTTATTTAACGCATTTTCATCCCCCTGCCCAGTCAGACTCAGGCTTATGAAGAAAAGTAAAATTTTGGCTTCATTTGTCACCAAGGTGTGGCTTCTGAATGTAGTAGTGCAACCCCAGACCAGTTATCACATGGATATTTAAACATGGATATTAAATAGGTGGATTGCCTGCTGCATTTTTTTTCAATCACAGCATTGCTTGGTCACTTTCTTCTTGGGCAATAGTCAAGATTATTTATATTCTGCTACTTAAAAGTTCTGGATTTTAAAAATGAAACTCCAGATACCAAGTTATGCCTTGAATATGTCCCACTATAAATTACATTTCCTATTCCAAGGTTATGTGATCTTTCTAGTTTTGTGATCTTTTGAGATATTCTCTTAACCTGTTATCTAGAATAGTGTACAGTTACTTGGGTATAAGTCCTGTGGAATGTAATAAGATGTGGCAGTGACATAACGTGTTAATGTTATAAAGCAGAATATATTTTACAGAGGAACACTGACATTTGAGAAAAAATTAAAAATATAACAATTTTATAAAAGTAATAGTGACTACTGTATGTTGAAACATTTCTTTTACATGGCACAAATGTTTTTGTGGCATGAACTCTTAATAAAAGTTCTTTAAATGTATTTACTTTTAAAATCTGAGCTGCCATAGGCATAGCAGGGTGTAGCTCAAGAGCATTTATGCTTAGTCATGGAATTTCTAAGTGTGTAATTTTAGCTTGTCATTCTGCATCCCAAAGAGACTAGATTGTAATAAATAATCTTGTCTGCTGTGATGCTTCTTAATTATATAAAATGTTGAACTTTCAGTATTGCATGCCATATAGTTACAAATTTTGCTACAACATTAAATAATTTTCCCCAGCCTGGTTTATAGGTGTAGGATTTCCCAGTGGTCTCCCATTAAAGTACTAACCAAACCCACATCCATATTTTTTCAAAGTCAACTAGGATCTGATGTTGCTGCTGTTGTACTTTTGTGGGAATTTGTACATTGCAGTCAGGAGTGGGTTTTTGAGAAAGGTTTGATTTGGAAATTTAACATATCTTTATTACTTTAATATAATACTACATTACAGTAGGGTAGTTTCTTATTGTAATCCAAGAACTCAAATAATTTTTCAGTACCTGGAAGCTTCAGTAAGTTTTTGAGAACTTGGTATTTCTAGGCTTCAGCTTCAAGTTCCAGCCTAAACTGCTGTTCAGTAAACCTCATTTTGGGATTCTCTTCTTCCCATAAATCCACTGGAAATTACACTGCTTTTTCTAAAAGGAGGAGACTTAAATTACCCTGCATTATTTCTCCTATCTCAATCCATTCCTAGGTTTTCACAGCTGTCAGCTCTCTACATGTAGAGTGTACATATTCAAGTCAATGGGACTTGCTTCATAGGCCCATGAAGTTTAATTTATATACTCATTTGACATTACTTATAAACCAGCCCATTCTTATTGACTCTGAACAATGTATGTGAACAAACTGACAAATGATTATTTCAGTAATTAAAACAAAAACATACCCAACATAACCTCAGGAATACTGCATCCTATCAGTCAAGTTGGCCGACTACATAGAGGGCACGGAAGTGATGGTGCACTGCTCTGGCAGTTTTGGGGAGGGGGGCTTCTCTTGCTTTACATTTTAGGCTTTTTCTTTTGATACTGAAAAGATTGTTGACAATTGATACAATGTTAATATTTTCCTGACTTGTAAACTTCAGGTAAAAGAGAAAATGCTATGAGAATTTTAAAAAAATATATATCTGTGAAATAACCTTGTTGTAATCATTTTAGGAGCATTGCTGACTGTAGAACATGTAAAGGATCATGTTAAAATTTCAGTTGAAATAGGCAAAGAAACCAGTCTACGGATATCTGAGTAAGTTTTTGTGTCTTTGCTGTTATTGCTTTTAAAATTTAGTTACTATAATATTGATGCTGTTAAGAAAATGAAGAAAGACTGTGTTCATTACCCTGAAGGATGAAATGCAATTATTACCCCTCTTAGTACTTACTAATCATTTCTGCATTGTAAAATGACTTTTATAAACCTATATATATATATATGCTTTTCTTTTGGTTTTTTTTCTCCAAAAACTCTCAAATAAACTTTGTTCAGATATATGTGATAACTTTTATTTCTTTTCTTGGAGCCTTATTATGGAACTGACATTAAACTCAAACAATGCTTTTGTAAATTTTCCCTTTCATTGGCCAGTGGTATAATAGTTGCCATGAGATCTGGTAGCCTGAGATGGATTTTAAGAAACAGAGAAAATAAAATTCTAAAACTGATTATGTGACTGATATGGATGGTAATATCTTGGATTGTACATCTAGAAAGTCATTCCTTTTCTGTCTCACCTTTCCATTTTTGGAGGGAAATGAGATCTCATTATTGTGTGTTTCCAAAAACGGGTCATCTTCTGCTGTAATAATGGTAAAGGAAGAAGTCATTTGAGATGAACTTGACTGCTTTTGCATTATGCCTTATTTCAACTTCTGATTTTAGTCTAGGTTAGTGATCTCTCATCTAATTGCTAAGTCAGAACCTGCTTAGTTTTCTAAGAAAATAGTTAATTTTGCTACCTAACTCAGCTTTTCTTAGTAGCTGCAAAGGTATAGATTATGCTGCATTGAAACTGTCATCCGTTCCATCTTTTCCACAGTGAAATAATGGCATAGATTTTTAAACAAGAAATTACAGAGTCATGGAAAACTGATTTGTAGAGAATGAAATAATGAAAATTTAATACGTTTTTGGAATATATATATATTCCAAAATATATATCAAACACAGATAAACTTTCTAAAATTAAAATGTTAAAAATAGAAAATTTATGGCTCTGAGATCTCCTTTAGGTTTGCAGAAAAAGTTCTCTGTGGCAGACTTTTGTGATATTCACTTAGTCTTGTAGTCCAAGATAATAAAACCTTTAAAATTTCTTATTATCCCAGGACTTAAGGCAGAGAGAAGTACTATGTAAAATCCAGTCATTTAATATGCACAGAATCTTAGTGATATAAATCATTTCTACATTTTGTGATGTATTCTCTGTCCTTCCAAGGAAAATATAATTACTTATTTTATTCTCCTTTGACCATTTCAGTCACATAAAAATGGTTTTTAAATGCACCACACAATTTTAAATAAAATACAGAAAAGCAGCATTTCACAATAAATCTATTATTATCAGGAAATTAAAAAATGGACAGTGCTACATTTCAATGAAGGACCAACCACACGACCCATTTATGTTCAATCAACCATTGTTTATACTTGCCTGATGATAAGAATTCGTTTATTATGAAAGGTTGCATTTATGCATGGAAAATAAAGTGAAGGTTTATTCAATTTTCAATAGCCTTTTAAAATAGCTTTTTAGTTTATCAAATGTTTAAAAAAGTTAAATTTTCATTAGCTTATACTGTGCTTGCTATATTTAATTTATGGGATAGAACGGCTATGAATTAATTTGGAAACATCATGCTGGGTTGGATATTATAATGAATTCCAATAAATATTACTTCAAACATGGATAAACACATATATATTCAATTTTTTAAACAGCCAAGTTACATTCACTGATGTGAATTCTATAGCTCGTTATCTGGCTAGAATTGCCACATCTGCTGGATTATATGGATCTAATTTGCTGGAGCACACTGAGGTAAAAACGATCTTCTAATTTCTTGGAGATACAGGATGGGCTTTTAAAAAAATCTTCTAGCAGTATGCCCCAGGAACTAGCAGTTCTCATGTTATAGAAGCCTTATTTTTTTGAAATCTAATACTGTATACTTTCCTCCCTTTATGGGCCTTTTCACAGAGCAGAATGAACCATTAAACAATGCAATTTTTCTTTAAAGGTAAATCATTTTCCATGTAAAGATTTCCTTGATGTTTCCTTACTGTTTGAAATCTGTATGTCAGAAAAAAAGACATGCAAAGAGGTGGAGGAGTTAGAGGACAATAAGGGTAACTGAGGAGAAGCAGCATTGCACTGATGTGATACCCCTTTTGGGTGTAGATTGTGATGTTGCATGCATGTACAAACAGTTGGAGCTTGTATCACAACTGCAATACTGCTTTTGTTTATGTGATGAAATTGCTAGAATTTACAGATGCTTCTGGTATCAGCACATTTGCAATCAGGGTTCTCCCCCTTCCCTGTGGAAATGTATTACCTTGCACTACGTTCATGGAGCTGCTATTTCCCTCTTAGTTCCCATCTGTTGTTTACAACTCATCTTTTATTTCTTTCTAAACTGTTCAGAGGGGCTCCTGTAATGAAATGATAGCTCCAAAGTAGCAGCACTTGAATATATGAGGGGTCCTTGATGCTCTCTCATCTCAGTTGTTTTCTTGCAGAGGTTTCATCACTCAAGCTAGGTAGCATTATCAGTGCTAGCTGATAACTCTTTAAATTCTAGAATTGCATTATCTGAATAACTCTCTTTAGTTATTTCTACTACTGATTTTTCCTAATGAGATGTATAGGTTTTATTGGCTATAATTCAATCTTTTATGTAATTTATCAAGTATATTTTTTCTTCTTTTTCAAAGATTGACCATTGGATTGAATTCAGCACCACAAAACTGTCCACTCCCACTGAGTTTGCTTTAGCCATCCAAGAGCTCAATAACTCCCTTTCTCTGAGAACCTATTTAGTAGGCAACTGTTTGAGCCTTGCAGATTTCAGTGTTTGGGCAGCATTGAAAGGTAAGGGGACATAGTAAATATAGTAGCGTGGTCATATCTTTTTTAAAATTAAAATGATTAAGCTTATCAAGATATACAATATAAAATAAAATGAAAATAGAAGGAAAAGAGGGGAGGGAGAAGGAAAGAGAAAGAGATAAATGGCAAAAAAAGAAAGAAAGGCAGTGACTCCTGACTCTTTTTAGCACAGTAGAATAAGATAGTAACATTACAATCTCAACTTTTTACTTTTATATACTTAATATGTACTAACCATTTCTGTAACAACAAACATATCAGCAAAGTCAAAGTTTCTTTTTTTTTCATTTCAAGAACAATATCCAGAAGGGGTTTCTAAGCAGAAACAAAGTTGGATGTGTTTTTTTTCTTTGATTAGAGTGGTTAATTTAGCTGTCTTCACTAGTTCCCTCAGTTTTCTCAACCATTTAACCATTGTAGGAATTAAAGTATCTTTCCACTTTTGCACATAAAATCATAAAGCATGCTTGCTGCTGTCAATATAGTAGCATGATAATATCTTGATAAAAAGTCATTTATGTACTGGAACATACGTATTTAGAAGTTCATTTGCACATAACTTTTGAAATTAAAATAGAAACTTCTCTTTATGTGGTTTTCATTATTTATTACATTTAGAAGTACATAAAGGTTGAGGGTTGAATAACAGTGCACATGTGTGTGGTGTGTGTAAAGGGACATATATTCCAACACGTCTATTTAAATTTCCCAAAAGTCAGATTTACTTATGTAAAATATATTTGGAAAGTCAAATGTAAATAATGAGGAAAATAAGATATTAAAATGCTCTCTTTGCAATAGCTATTTCCCCAATTATTATTTATAACTAAATTGCAGTTATTAATTATGTCATCTTTGGTATAAGTTGGTTAGTTATATTATCTTGCCACATGATATTTCCTAGTTTGTAATAAATCTGTCTCTTTTCCAATAGGCAACAATATATGGCAGGAGCAGTTACCTCAAAATAATGGTCCTGTTCATGTAAAACGCTGGTACAAGTTTCTTGAAGCACAAAATAGTTTTCAATCTGTAGATTCCAAATGGACTGTGGGAGACTCTGTTCGAAAAATAAAAATGGTAAGTGTTCAGCAATCTGTTTCAGTGTATCAAAATATAGATAGATAATACCTGAATTAGCCATTTTAGTACATATATATGCATATAGAGGCATGCAGGCAAATACATATTTGTACACACCATAAACATGCTTATTAGGAATGAAAATAAAGCTTTTTAAAACCTTTTATGTTAAATTAAAACTAATGTTGCTTTTGACTCACTAAATATTAAATTGAAGGACATACACATATCTGGTTTGAATTAAGAAATTGAATTACAGGCCTGTATTAATAAAATAATAATTGATGATTGCTTGGTGGTATTCCCCCAAATATGTGTTCCATTTTAGTGTGTAGATCTGCCTGGTGCAGAAACAGAATATTGTTATACATGATACCTTAATATAAGATATCATTGATCAGAATATGCCATAGTGCTTTCATATAATTATTTATTAGTAGACCTGTTATTTATTTTCAATAATTCCTGGGTTCAAAATTTGCAATTGAATAATTTCCTTTGTATTTTAATTTTAAGACAACAGAAAAGAAACAAGATCTTGGAAAATTTGTTGATCTCCCAGGTGCAGAGATGGGAAAAGTCATTGTTAGATTTCCTCCTGAAGCAAGTGGGTAAGATGAATTGTTCTATAACAAGTCAATTTTACCTGCCTTTGACAAAATGGAAGAACATGCAATTAAATTTGCTTTCCATTTCTATTACAAAAAATAAAATAATATAAATCATTCCTGTGCAATGAAAATGTTCTCTATAAAACTGCATTTTAAAATGTCTAATGTACATGACAAGCAATATGTAAATTAGAACAGAACATGCAATGTAGTTTGCGTGTTAGATTCATCATTCCATTCTGTATTATACTCATAGTTTGGGGTTTGGAGGAGATAGTAAAGGGAGAGCTCACACAATATTTATTTAAAGTAACAGAAGCATACAGGTAGCCCTTGAATTATGACAGTAATTGGGACTGGAATGTCTGTTGCTAAGCAATGCATTCCTAAATCATGACATCACATGACAGCATCACTTAGTGATGACAGTCTTGGTACTCCCCGTTGCCATGGTTAAGCAAATCCATTGGTCGTTAGGTGAGGACCTATCCCAATTGAAGCCACTCTGCCTTAGTCCCTCCCAACCCAAAGCTTCAGTAAAGATCCTCTCCTCTTCAGCTCCCCCACCTGCCTATCTCCCTCGCCTTCTCTGCCATTTTGACAACCTTGTAGTCTACCATCTCTGCCAACCTTGCTATCCTCCAATACTTAGTGATTGGATGACTATTAAGTAAGGAATAAGCAAGATTGTGTGATGCTTGTTTAGTTGTTTGTTTACAGACAAATATATAAGTAGGTATGTGCATGTAATTTTATATGCAGGTGGTGTAGCTGGCTGAGAACCTGGATTATTGTGAGCGTTATATATTGTATGAAGCAACAATAAGTATGAATCTGAATGTTATCAAAGACCAAAGGAATTGTGTTTGACATGGAAAATGGTGAACAATTGCAGATTATAAATCGGTGTTGAAAACTAGAAGAATCTATGTATATTGATAGTAATTTTTCCCTAGAAAATGTCTGTTGTTTAGAAGTAGCCAATATTTTGATGAGAAAAATGTAAAATGTTCTAGACCAGGGGTCCCCAACCCCTGGTCCGTGGACCGGCATCGGTCTGCAGCATGCCAGAAACTGGTAATATTGTACTGCTTTGTTCATATGGGCAAAATGACAATTGAAAATTATTTTTCATTAGTTTTTAAAGTAGCATTCTTTTGCAGTTTCATGTAGATGCATCAATATTGTAGATACATCAATATTGTGAATATTGTTATAAGAAATAATTTGTCTCTGTGTGTAATACTCATAACTGATTAATATTCCGTTTGGAAATTCTTATTTTATTAGTAACTTCAGAGCTCCTTTATGTGTCCTTAGTCCTATCCTGCATGAACTCAAACTTGTTCAAGAAAATTTCAGCCATCATGTACTGTGAAGGTTGACAGATAGTAAGGGATAGGGTAATTAATGTAAAAAAGCCATTGGTGATTGACTCATGAGGCTATGAAATTGTGGCTGAAATTTAAACATTGACAAGTTTTTTATTCTAAGCAAAATATATATTGACTGTATGGAGTCTGTTGTAGTAGGACTTTATATGTTGCTTCATTTCTTGTCTGTTTTATATTTACTTTTTCCTTTCATATTGAAACGATTAAATTATGTTGTTTTCTTTTCTGATTTTGTTTCTAGCTACTTGCATATTGGTCATGCAAAAGCTGCTCTGCTGAATCAGCACTACCAGGTCACCTTCAAGGGTAAATTGATCATGAGATTTGATGATACAAATCCAGAGAAAGAAAAAGAAGACTTTGAAAAGGTATTTCAGACATTCATGTATGGTTTATTTTAGAATTGAAATTAGGAAGATAAGTCAGATCTTGGGTATATTCACAAAGGGTATAAATCACTTTAAATGCAATTCCTTTATAGGATTGCTGAAAAAAATCATTTTTAAAAGTAAATAAATGTGGGCAGTGTTGATTTCTAATCTATTTTAATGTACCGTAATGAAAATTTATTTTCCCGATGAATTTTTAGCTTGGTTTTTTTTAAAAAAATAATATGTCATTATTTTTACTATTTTGAAATTATGTAACATTTGCCTTCAAATTCATTACTGTTGGACTAAGGGATATATTTCCATGGCATGTTCCCATGCTTCTATAGTAATATTTGAAACGTTATTAGAACCTAATTAAATGAACAAGTTCTGGATGATATTTTTCAGAGCTGTAAAGGCATAAAGTGAGGAAATATCACACTGTATTTCTTGAGATATTTTTAAGTAGTTGGTGTGCATGGAATCTTAATTAGGCTTTGTTTTGAGAAGGTTGCAGAGTTATGTACCTTATAACAGGTCCATGTGAACTGAGTTAAAGTGTACTACCTTTCAAAACAGTTTACTATTATTATATTTTATATTGCTTTAAGATGGGTTAGAAAATTGAATAAGAAGGATTTCATTTCTAGCTAATCTGATGCCTTTGTGATGACACAAAATGAACTGCAAATTGTTCATGTCATTAGAATAACAAATAATGAGGTCTATGGAAGAGTATGTTATAGAACATATAAATTACTATGNATAGCAAACTATCCCTACATTGTTTGTGTGTTAATAGTGCCTGGTTATGTTAACAATATCTACTATTTATTATGCAGAGTACCTTATTTCTTACTGCTTCCTGATTCTCTAGCCCAAATAGTACACACATGCAGTATTGTGCAGTGTTCTGCTCATATATAGTTCATTGCTTATTCTCAGATTTTGCAGCAGTGATTTCCCAAATGCTTTACAACAGTTTTGGGTGATGCTGAAATTCTAAGGACAAAGAATCCAACCCATAAACAGCTTAGGTGAATTTACTAAAATGTTGTGAAACTTCTGATAGTCTTTTAAGTGGGCAGCATTGGCTTTGTCAGTAAATTTTCTAAAATTCTATTTCTTTAATTACACATTTACAGCTCTTTGAAATGATAAAATGTAGCAACTTAGGAGAGGTTGCCATCTCTAATACAATAATAATTGTAAACAATTTTAAATATCAATCTAATTGATATTATATACAGGTGATCTTGGAAGATATTGCAATGCTTCAAATTAAGCCCAACCAATTTACATACACTTCTGATCATTTTGAAAAAATAATGAAATACGCTGAGAAACTCATTCATGAAGGAAAGGCTTATGTGGATGATACACCAGCAGAACAGATGAAAATGGAGAGAGAACAGAGAATAGAATCTAAACACAGGAATAATTGTAAGATGTTTTTATCAAAGTTTTATCCTTTTTAAATTGAATTAATGAAACATCTAATATTTGGTAAATATGTCATTAGCATAAGTTACATAACCTTCTGTGTTTGAGATAATGATTAAAAATAACCTCATTGAGATGTTGGCTGCATTTAGGTATCTCATATAAGCCAACATACTATTTGTTTGAGTTTGGCTGACTGTGATGCATGAATCAAGCCACTGGGATATATGAATAATGGTTTATGGTTTAATTTATGATTGGATAATGTCCAACCAACTGGAAATGTTGAAATAAAATTCAAAGAAATATATTTTGTAGGTAAATGCAAATTACTTTATAGATAAATATAAGTTATTTTTTATTTGTAAATATTGTATCATAATATTAGAACAAATTTAATCCTAATTAAATATTTGTAATCTGATAGCTGTTGAGAAGAATTTTCAGATGTGGGAGGAAATGAAAAAAGGAACAGAATTTGGGCAGACCTGCTGTCTACGAGCAAAAATTGATATGAATAGTAATAATGGATGCATGAGAGACCCAACTCTTTATCGTTGTAAAAATCAGCCACACCCACGTACTGGAAATAAGTACAAGTATGTATTGAGGAAGAACTTCCTTTCATTTTCTTAGACTTTCTACTCTATTTTTTTTAATTAATACAATCTGGTTTCTGGTTTCTTGGAAATGATTTTAACATTTCAGGCCTTCTTTATTTTTGTAGAGAGTTTTATAGCCTGGTAGAATCTGATACTGAATAGGTAGGTAGGTGGGTAGATAGATAGTTAGTTAGTTAGTTAGTTAGTTAGTTAGTATCAGATTCTACCAGGCTATAAAACTCTACAAAAATAAAGAAGGCCTGAAATATTAAAATTGTTTCCATGAAACCAGAAACCAGGTTGTATTCTATTTCTATTCTATATTCTATGTTCCATAATATATATGGAAGAACATCTATTCTTAAGACAACTAGCAATTTTAAGTTCTTAAACTCTAGGACTAAATCATTCCCATGAGAAAGAGGTTAGTGACAGGACTGAATCTCTTCATCTACTGAACCTGAAGATGGGCAGAATGGAACAAAGAAATTCTATAAGTACTTCTTTTAGATCTTGTTTTATTGAGATATTCAATCTGAATAGAGCTGAAAGGGACCTTGGAGGACTTGTAGTCCAACCCCCTGCTCAAGCTGTTGGCTGTCCAGTCTTTTCCTAAAAACCTAAAGTGGTGGAAGCACCCACAACTTCTGAAGGCAAGCTGTTCCACTGGTTAATTGTCCTCACTATTAAGAAGTTTCTCCTTAGTCCAGGTTGCTTCTGTCTTTGATTAGTTTCTGTTGTTTCTTGTCTTACCTTCTGGTGCTTTGGAAAATACTGCTATCATGTCACCCCTAGTCCTTCTTTCCTCTAGTCTGGCCATACCCAATTCCTGCAACCATTCTATATATGTTTTTATCTAATCGTCTTAGTTGTTCTTTGTACTTTTCATAAGTCCGCAGTTGAGCAATGTAAAAAAAATAGCTTTTCAGTCTTATTTGATAAATTTAGGAGTTTATTAGGGTGAATTATCTCTCTTAAAAAAGAGAGGAAAAAACCCTGAACTAAAAAAGCAAGAACTAATCACTTACAGTAAATATGAGCCAGCAGTGTGCTGCAGCTGCCAAAAAAGCCAACACAGTGCTGGGCTGCATTAACAGAGGGATAGAATCAAGATCACGTGAAGTATTAATACTACTTTACAATGCCTTAGTAAGGCCACACTTGGAATACCGCATCCAGTTTTGGTCACTACGATGTAAAAAAGATGCTGAGACTCTAGAAAGAGTACAGAGAAGAGCAACAAAGATGATTAGGGGACTGGAGGCTAAAACATATAAGGAACGGTTGCTGGAATTGGGTATGTCTAGTTTAACGAAGAGAAGGATGAGGGGGGACATGATAGCAGTGTTCCAATATCTCAGGGGCTGCCACAAAGAAGAGGGAGTCAAG